CAATTATGAAAACAAGAAATAACTTCTAATATGCTATTTCAACTTTGAAGAAGAAAATTCAATTGCTTAATTATTCCTTACTGTAATGCAGAGGATTTCATAGCTATTTATTAAGTTTCTATAAAATAATATCGCATTTCCTCGCTAATTTTCTCCGCTAGTTTTTTGACTCTGGGTTCTGAAAGTTTTAAAAACATTCGCATAAAATTTTCCTTCACCTGTTGTACATTTTTCTGGGAGCTAGTTTATTGGTAAACTGTATAAGGTATTTCTCCCGACCATGACAAGACCAAGACATGACCAAGACCAAGACAAGGACCAAGACAAAAAAACAAAGACAAGGACCAAGACAAGACCAAGACAAAACAAAAGACAAGGACCAAGACAAGACCAGATAACACCAAGAGAAGACCAAGACCAAGACAAGCCTTTTTTAATTAATTTAATAACAGACCAAAAAATTTAAACGGTAAATACTTTTCGAAGCATTGATACACGTATCGCAGTTGCTCCACTTCAGATACTTTCGGATCTTAAACTAGAATCTAAAGAGTACATTTTTAAAATTTTCATGATTTTTTTTTTTTTTTTATTATTATTTTTTATTTTTAAACCATTTTTATGCTGCTTTTAAGAGCTTGATTACTATTCTTATTAATAGTTTCACATTTAGATTTAGTTACAGCAATTATGAGGGGGGGGAGAGAAAAAATTCGACAAATCATTAATTTCTAAGCGTAAAAAATAGCTAGTACCTTTTTATTTTTGTAGTTAGTCTGATGAATTCCGCGAATTTTAGTTTTATTTGACCATGGATGTGACGCTTTGTACATAATGTTCTTTCACTGAAGAAAATCTTTGTAATAAACACTGCTTCCTGAATACAGATAGAACGCTTGCACACAAGAGACATTTCTTATGTACAATTTTCGAAGGAAGACGTTCGGAATCATTTGGCAGACGTCCCCTCGCATAATTCTGGCGGTGCAGTGGTGGGGGAGTCAACCAGATGTCTGACGGGGGGCCACACCTGTGGAATGCCGCGGAACACACCTGCGTGGGAAAGTACAGTTGGCAGTTTGTTGTCCGGACACTTCTCTTTTAGATCCTCCATTCCTTCATCTCCTTGCTGCGTGGGCGAGGCAGGACCGGGGAGCAGGTATCTGAAGTGGCTGAGATTTTAGTAGGGGGGGGGCACCGAGAGGCCTCCAATAAATTTTATGTTTCGCAGAGCTTTCTGTGAATCTTGAACAGGTGTGAAGTTCATAACAATCAATACACATGCCTGTAAATTGAAGTATTATCTCTGCAGGCAAAATATTGTCAAGGAAGTTCCTGTACAATTTTGGCTTGTTATTTTAAAGTAGTTTATTTCAATTCTGCGTAACCTCCAATAAAGTTTACTTATGAATTATCATCCGAATGTGATGTACACCGCGCAAATTAAAAAAAGGGGGGGGGACCGTTTCATATCTACCGTTGTACTGGGCCGATTGATGAAATTCAACTTGCGTTTTTCATGTCTCGAAAGCGCGATTTAGGATATGTATAAGATTTATATATAGCATTGTTCTAATATAGGTATTTTGACACAAAATCGGATCCTTTTATCTGAAATACCATATCAATTTTTTTCCATATTCCCATTCGCCCACCAGCGGCTGAGCGTTAAAGTTGCTGAACACTGGTAGTTCGGTCCGAGGTTCGAATCGCGCGAAAGGGCTGGCTGCATGGGCGTTTTCCTGGTTTTCCCCATGTGCAACGTGTATACGAGCCAGTTTGCCTTAGAAAGTCCTCCACGAAGGCATCCCTCCCCTTAGGCAGATATCCCTAGTGTGCTTTGACATAATTAAATAAAACAAAACAAAACAAAAACAAAAAAACCATATTTCCACTCTACGACTCAAATGAAGCCAGGCTACTAAGTTTTGTAAAAATCCCACGAGTAGCTGTTAAAAAATTAGCTCTCAAAATTTTAGCTCATCAATGTTAATTGAATTCGGTATATATTTATTAATCTTTCCTTTTTTATTAAATTTATTTGATTCTTCCTTTCACATTTCGAAAAATTCCGGTTCATTTCAAATAAAATTCACCCATTTTTATGATTTATTATTTAAAATTTGTATTTTAAAATAATTTTTATAAAGTTTTCAAAAACCTTTTTGAATTATAATCTATAAAATTTTTACCACCATCTTAATCATCGGTCTTTGTAGGGATATTGGTGAATCCATAGAGGAGATTTTATCCTCTGTTTGTGGGCTCTCCGAGATTGCTGTAGTAGATTTGTCTCCCCTGTCCGGTGGTTGCACTTCGCTGTTAGATATGGCATGTTGGTAGAGTGCCGTGAGAAGATCATAGAGTTCCTCACGCATGGCGGTTGGGATCACATATTTAGTTGTGTATCTGGCATTTACAATTTCAACACATCTTGAGTAGATGTCGAAGGCATTAGATGGAAGTTCGTCAGTTTGATGGAAGTCTATCACTGTTGAGGGTCTGTTGATTACTTTTCGATGTGAAAGCGGGGTGCTCTCAGAATCATCCTTTTAAATTGTTGATAACTCTAAAAATACTGCATGCAGATTTACTAAAGGCATAAAAACCTTAACCGGAAGATAAAAACAAAATAATTCAATCATTTTTAAAACAAAAAATGCACAACTTACAAACATATAAGAGTAAAGAAACTAAGATCACTGAGTCGTTTAACAGAGTAGAAATATATACACATACTTTTATATACTTTTGGTGCAAACGGTTATAACCGAAATGGGAGGTGCGAAAATCATTAAAAACTGTGTGCAATTGTTGCTGATATAATGAAAGAGAATTAGCTTTTTTTTTTTTTTTTTTTTTCTATCGAAATCTTTCTTCATTGAGCAGCATCATTTTGAATTTTGAAAAACGACAGAATTATTTATTGGTACTCAACATACAACAGGTAGTGACTTATAAATCTACTTTGAAAAGCCTAATTTTCTCGTATTATAGAAATCGAGAAGAAATATTTACGACTAAATCAAGGTTTAAAGTTATGGCCACATTTTCGGAAGAGGATTTATTAACGGTGCATTTTTTGCGTAAATTCTAAGAAAAGGTAACATTAGAGTTTTTTTTTTAATATGAAAAATAATCCGGCACCTCTACGGAAATAAAATATAATAATGAAGTAAAAAAAAATCTAAAATTTATGCATTTATGTAACATTCGTGGAAAATTCTAATATTCGCGCTATCTCGGAAAAATTCAAGAATTCTCGAAACTAATGACGGAAATTCGCATTGCGATAGATTTACCGCTTTGGTCATGGTAATTATTTCTTCCAGTTTCTGGTAAAAATAATCATCAGTAGCAATGTTAAACAAAACGTGTGCTATATGATCATTGTGTTACACCTACTTTACATTTATTTCATTTAAAGTGTAAATAATTGAAACTGAACTTAAATTTAAACAATTTTAACTTTTTGATGACTTAAATATTATACAAAGATATTTTATTATAACATTGCATCATTTTGCATTAGCATAACGTAAGAAGAAATCATTCACTGTAAAGAAACATCTTAATTTAATTTTCGTTCAAAATAGTGTATTTCATTAATTTAGAACAAAACTAAGAATTTGAAATTAAAACCACTCGACTTCTTTGTTTCTATTAAATTAGACGCATTTTTTTTTGCAGCAATTCATTTAAATTTATTGCCTCGAATCAGTCTAATTTAATCAACTGATTCCTCGAGGCAAGTTGAAAATGACATCAAAAATTGCAAATTTTGAAATTAAAATCCCAGCCCATTTTTCTCGTACGGGAGTCAAATTTCTTCAAACTTCATTTTTTCATAACGAGTATAAAACTTTCCCAAATGTAAGTATGGGGGATCGCGTTAAAAGTTAGATTTCATAATTTGTCTAAAATCAATTTCGCTTAAATTTGACATTGCCAAAACATGAATGTTTTCGTTATATAAAACACTTGTGTAATTAGAAGTATACGACCAATGATTGCAGAAATGAAGGCCGGATAACGAATTTTATGACAGGTAAGAGGGTGAGTGTGTGTATATATAGACAAAGAGAAAGGAATTTAAATCCAATTTTACAAAGACTCAAAAGAATTGAATACCAATAAATTTTAAAATATCCTATAAATATGCAGAATAAGGATTAAAGAAATGTGAAATGAAAAACTTAAAATTATAAAAACCTGAAACCAGAACCAGAAAAAATATAAAAAGAGGAATTCAATAAAGTTCTTCATTACAGTGTTCTTGTTTAATTTGTAGTAGATTCAACCTCCTCATTTCAATCTTAATCTTACATTATGAAAAAATATGCTTAATTAAAATTTCAGATTTGTTTTATTTGGATGTGTTTAATATTTTTCAGTATCGGATTGCTTCTTCCTCTTCTGAGTAAGTTTCAAATTCCTATTCTCGATTTATAATTTTTTTTTTGGTATTTCTACCTTATTTCAAATTAAAATTCAATAAAAATATTTTATTCTTTCACTTGATTTTAAATTGGAACTTTTACCCTGACGACTTCAAATTTTTTTTGAAGAACTGTTATAATTAAAAACTTTAGCATAGTTCGTTGGCAAAATTCGGATACAGAAACGCAGTGGTTGTAATTGAGTCTGATGATAACGTTATACATATATTTGGTGCTGCCGATTGTAACAAAAAAGGGAGGTGTACAACTAGATGTTATGGTTGTCTCATCTACAAAATTTCGCCGTTCTGAGGCTACTCGTTTCTGAGTTATGAGAGATACGTACGCACGTACTGATGTCAGGAAAAAAATCCCTTTTAAAATCATTTTAAATCCATTTAATCCGTTTTGGAAAAATGAGTCCTTTATTCTGTCCGTACTACAGTTAATTATATATATTTGTAACGATTTAATTGCCTATTTGTAATGAATAATACAATAATGCCATGCCAGGCCAGGCCAGGCCAGGCCAGACCAGACCAGAATAAATAAAATTTCAAATATATATGAATTTATTTATTATATATCTTATGATACACTTGAATCCAATATAAAAGTCTGAACAGCAATGTTAAACTTTCACTTTTAATACATTTTGGTTTCAGAATTGCAATATGCTGGAAGCAGTTAAACAATATAAAGATAAATGGAATTTCTTTACATTGAATACTTGTAAAAATAAATCATTCTAACAAATTTATTTCCTATAATATCTTCAGAAAAATGCATTTTCAAATTTTAGTAATTAAAAAAATCCAACAAATTTTCGAGAAACTTGCTTAAAAAGGGCTATAAAATATCTTTAGCCATATCTAAATAATTTAATGGAAAATTAAACACCTATAGAAAAATTATTATTCTAAGTAAAACACTAAATTTTTTAAAGTGCAGGCATTTACTGTTAAGGGAAAAACGTAAGTATACAAATATATTACTCATCATCCGAATATTACTTTGCACAACCTCAAAAATTAATCTTTACCTAATTAACCTTTTAATTAATTTCTTTAATATTGACAAACCAGATGACTGAAATCCTTCATAATCAAAAATAACTGGAGAAGGTTCGTTTCTTCCCTTTTTATAGCATGAAGCCAGATATTTTATATATCCTATAAAGGAAAATGCTTGCAATTAAAGATAAAACCGCATAATTGTTAAAAATTTGATCTTTTGATTTTTCCTGGGTTTCACACCAAATTAACATATTTGGCACCCACAAGTTTGGACATAATGCTCATTTGAAAATGCATTTATTCATTTATAAATCAATTATTTTTATTGAAGAAAAACGTTGAGCTGAGATGCAACTTGTAAGAGCACTTTTATGCTTGGCATAAATCCACTGATTTCACTAAAGTTCGCACTGCCAACAATTTGTCCATGGATTGCCAATGCAGTTGAATAATCACTTTGCATTATCGCTTGCACTATCTGATGCAAGCCATGAGTCACTTGATTTGTAAGCTGAAAAGAAATCAAGGAAGTACTGTGAACGAAATTTAATCAAACTTCTGGTTCATGATAAAAAAACTGCTCGTTATCAGTATTTCAGATCAACACATAAATTAAGAAAGCTTCTGCTTGAATCTCTGAAATTTTAAGTCCATATCTTCATGCTTAAACACATTTAATTTTCACAAACTTAAGTTATATTTAAGCATGAAACTAATAGTCCAGATAAACTAAAATCTATTATACCCAGCTCACCAATCTATAAGGTCAACCAGAAAGTTCTGTTCAGCTTTGGTTCGGAAATTGCAGAGCTAGGCTGGGAAATTCAGCCATACCCAGCATATTCACAATACCTAGAATCCTCTGATTATCACTTGTTCCTGTCCTTACAAAATTTTTTTAAGAGAAAAAATTCAAAAGTGAAACAGATGTCAGCCAAGCACTAATAGAGTTCTTCGCCTCTTAGAACAGCATATATTTAAAAATTGTATCTACAAATTACCAGTCTGATTCTAAAGCTGCTCTTCTAGCCATTTCTTTTGAATCATCAATGTCTGCTGATATTTTAAAACCTCAGCAGAACTTCAGCAGAACTGAGAACAAAGAAGTTGCCATAGAATGGATACATCACACTGTGCCTCTCATGGAAATAAGGCAGATTTGTTAGTAAAAAAAAAGGGATTCATATCCAAGTACCTTTTAATATAATCAAAAATGACTAAGCAGAAGATTTTTGGAAGGATTTTACTGAAAAGAAGAGTCACTAAGTATGGATTAACAGAGTTTTATGACCCAGAAAGAAATACTGTTCTGGCTACAGTTTTGTTACTGGCCATAATTAGAAACACCTGCATCAAATAACATTATCTCAACCCCAACTTGTAAACTGTGCAACCTTCACGAAGAAATGGATGCCTTACATCCAAGTCGTTACTCTGCATTTAAAGCTGGATCATTTTTTGAGACATATAGCAAACATGAATTTAAAGCCAGACACAAAACAGATTTACAGATTATAGAGTGGAGTCAGATTTGCTGTTCTCTTTCAACTCTGCTTGTTCTAGCTACAGTTTTCTTTGTAATGTGCTGTGACAGAAAAAAATTACCATCACACAGGCAAGAGGTCAATGACAGAAATTGTAAAATAAATATTACTAAAGACATGAAAAATATAGCTTCTTTCACTTCTGAAATGAACAGAATATTCTGGTAGACCTTATTATGGACCACGTATTACCGTGAGCATCACACTAAATGCTTGATTTCAGAATTTAATCAGATATTTATTTACAATTAAAACTATGCACATAACTCACTGCTACAGACTATTGAGTAGCCTTTCAACTCAGCCATTTGTGAGTCTTAAATTCTAAAAAGGGCTGGAAATAACGTTAGACTTAAAAAAGCATTACATCTGAGAGAAACTTGAAAACTTTCAATATTTTACTTTTCTCCTATTAAAATATAAAACTATTTGATGTTTTCTCTGATAACATTTTTTTTCCACTGCAGATAGCTACTGAAAATAAAATGCACCAATGAAGTATGTTTGAAAAATCTGCTGGTGGGTATTAAATTACCATTCCCCAATAGGCAGATGATTAGACCATAATACCACAAAGCTTTCATAACATGAATTTTCCTGCGATATCAGATTCTATAAAGGTTATAGCATTAATGCAACCTTAAGCTTTTTTTTTTTTTTTTTTTTTCTGCTACAGAATTAACCGTTTTCTTGCCTCAAGGAACAATTAAAATAAAAAAATCTTTAAGCAAAATTGGTAGTTAAGAACATCTTGGTTACATATCAGAATAAGATGGACCATTCTTAATATGAATTATGAGCACTGATTGGTTTGATCAGATGACAATGTTCATTATATAGGGTATGAACTTGTGTAATAATTAACTTGTGTCCTTCAGAGCAAGTCCCTGTCAAGCAAGTTATTGTTCCATCTGTGGAAATATGAGAAAATCCTATGAAGGTTTTAAAAAAACCTTTTCATTAAAACTTGATTTTAACAGAAGGCAGAACTTAAGTGCACAATCAAACCCCACCACTTGCAGGTGTTAAACAGGAAATTCAAAGTACAACATTAAATACCACAATTACAAATGGATCTGTAACCTGGTACTATGCAAACTGTGGAAAACTTGTACTCGCATGATTTAACTTATACTAGTCAGAAATAAAAACTTAATAGTCTAAAACATTGGCTTGAGAGGGTAAATAATAAACTGTGAAGGTCACTGCAAAAAACTCTAATGTCTTAGATACAGAGTCTGAGACAATGTCTCAGATACCCACATCTTAAATAGTCTTAACTCACTTGCATCCAGGTGAAAGCTAATGAAAAGGACAAGTAATAGTATAAATCCATATCACAAAAACAGGTTAGTTACAAACAATACCTTAATTAAAAAAAGTTCATTGATCTAAAAGCTGTTAAAAGTGCTTCTTATGGAAACCTTCATGAAACACTTGAGTGAATGATAAAACACTTGTTTTTCCTTAAGTGATGTAGTCAAACCTATTCTGAAGACTTAATAAAATGAAATTATAACACATTTTTATGCTATTTTATGTTATTTTTATTCTATGCATATTACAGATGCACTATTATCTTAATTTTGTTGTTCTTAAGGATTGGGAAGCAAGATCAAGACTAATGGCTTTGTGGCCAAATGTTTGCCATTTGTATAAATAAATATATCCACACACTTACCGGGTCAGTGAGCCATTTTAATATTCTTATTTGTTGGTAAATTGTGCCCATTTTGATTTAAAAGTGATTGAATTAAATTCTTCGTTCTTGTGTTTGGGGTTAACGTTTTTTTTTTCTGTTACTTTGCATACAACAGTTATAGAATAATCGACAATTTAAAAGTATCGCCTATTTGCCTGACCAAAGTTAACTTTCAGTTTTGTACAATTTTGTATTCCTGTCCCTTGGCCGAATCCCTTGTTTTGGCATAGAAACCAATTTTAAAACAAAAAATTTAACTGTTTTTACTATCTGGTGTTTTAGGTTTTTCTGTATTTTACAAATTTTAATGAAGATATTATGAGTTTTGTTAATTCTTCATATATATGTATGTAAGATAAAGAAATATGAAATCAAACTTAATTTTAATTCGCTATAACCTTTTATTTGATTTGGGGACTTCCTCTCTCTATTTTAAAAATAGCACTATAAGTCTAAACTGTGTTATCCTAATTAATCATTTAATCCTATGTAATGCATAATGCAGATACATCTTATTCAATCAAATAACTGTAAACCAAAACTTTTTGACTCCCTCCCTTCTTCCTCTGAATCACTATGTTCTTTTCGCTATGCTTTCATCCTAGCAGGACATTCCTGATCCACACTGCTGCTTATTTGCTTAAGATGACATAGTACTTTAAAACCCATGTACATGGAAATTATTGCGTTCAATGATGATTAAAAAATATTTACAGAAAGATGGTCTGATGTGAATTATCCTACAACAAAATTATGTTTCTAAACGGCCATATTTGGAAATCTTTGGTTTATGCATTCATCCTTCCGACTATGCAATAAAGTGTTTTCTGAGGCCAGAAAGTACCAGATTCCTTCATCTAGATATTAAAACATGACATGAATTACCTGCATTAGTGCATACATATATGCACTCTTTTCTTTGGTTCAGAAATCAAATTCATCAAGGAAAAAAAAAAAAAAAAAAAAAAAACTGATTTAAGTCATTTTCCTAGAAAAACAGGAAAATCATTTACCGTATTTTCACGAAGTCTGTCGTATAAGTTTTCCAGTTTCTTTGCAACGTCATCTAATTTTCGCCTAGTTTGCTACAATTTTAATACATACAAAAACAAAATTAGATATGTCAAAAATTAAATACAGTTAAATGTATGCTTCACACTCGAAGAAAATAATTTTGATACACTTACAGGATTTGTGGCTATTTGTTGACACTGCCTTCTCAAATCTTCAAAGATATCTTGCAAAACTTGATGTTCTGGAGGAATTGGCCCTTTTTCTTTCGGTGGCTCAGGAATAATAGGAGGATTCTAAGAAGACAGAATGGGGCAAAATGCAAAATATTATTTATAACTTATTTTGTACAAATTACACTATAATGAATAATTAGACAAGCAATGAATAATTAACATAATCTCAAATCTAATAATTTGACAAGGAAGACACTAACAAATTCTTCAATGATACAATTAAACATCTTTAAATCATCTTAAAAATCGTCACTTGGAAAGTACATTACTCTGTATACTTTTTTCAAAGACCCAAAATATCTTAATGACTCAACTGTATAACCTTCTCTGATTTATATTCAAAAGAAAACTTCATTTACTACCTCATTTGTAATTTTAATCTGTTATTTTCTCCCCCAAAATAGTTATTTTTAGTTAGAGTTTACAAAATCTATTATTCATAAGACAGGTTTCAACATCCTCAGAGATAATATCAGTTCGAATTCCCTACTGCCTACCCATCGGTTAACTGAAGGAAATTGCACTTCAATGAAATTTATTTCATTTTCCCAAAGGACTGCTCTTCTTGGAAAATCTTCAAAGCCAAGCATCCATATAGGTTACCCTCCCTGTTTTTTATTGCTTTCAGTGCGTAAGTGGAAATCAAATTATTTTAGAGATGAGCTTCTTTGTAAGCATGCAAAGTAGTTTTATGATATTCTCCTCTTCTATTTTAGATTATGAATCGGGTGAAGAAAACATTTTAAACAAACAAGAATTCATTAAAATGCTTTACATTTTTAATACTTTAATTCAATACACAAGGTGTAGAGGGAAGTCCCTTTAACCTGAAAATTTTTTCAAACGGAGAGAGCTATAGCTAAGCAAGTGAGGCAATGGTATAGTAAGGCCCCATTCAAACGAGGGCGTAAGGGGCATAAGTTGTTAAAGCCGAGCTCCATCGCCAAGGCAACCAGTCTCTGCTATGTCATAGAATCTGGTTTAGGGATCGTGGCATAGGGTTCCAAGTTTTTAACTTTACGACGAGGTTGGGATAAGCATCGACCAATCAGAGCGAAGCAGCTTTCTTTAGATGATTTCGCTGTCACATAGGCGACGTTTTTTTTTAACATGGAACACATCGTATCCGAATGAGTTGTAATCGTATCCGAATGAAATAATGAGTTGTAATCGTATCCGAACGAAATAAAGAGTTTATCTCGCAAGAAATCTATGATAATGACATGCATTTTTTAATGAATTTTTCAATTTATATTGAAAAATATGGATGAAACTCGTAAAGCGAAAGTTAAGCTGAGGATTATGCATGCTGTGTATGATCCTGTAGATGATTGATCCCATCCAATATTTTTCATTTTATTTTTTCTGTGTAAATTATTATTATTACTTTCTTTCTGTCTATAATTAAAAAAAATATTACTATAATTTTTATTTTGTTTAATTATTTTTGTATTTAAGAATAAATTTATTGAAAAAGCTGGAAATACTGTGTTCCTATTTGCTTTAAATGCTGATTTTCTTTCCAAACAAACTTCATGAATTAATTTTACTAAAACATCAAATCAATATTAAGAATCTGCTGTGTTTTTTAACAGTAAAAATATTAAAGAAAAAAGAAAAAATTATTTTCACTTATTTAAGAATAATCACAATAGTCAATTCAATGGTGTAAGCTTTGTATAAGTAATAAAAGATTAATCTTTTGAGAAAATGCTCTTGAATTCCAAGAAGGAAAAAATGTAGTGAAATATCCTTAAAACAGTCAAGAGTCTAAACAGTTTTGTCTCCTGTTGAAGTTCTGTTCTGTTTTTTATTTACGTTCTCCATGAAAGGAATTTACTTTAAATGAAATTGAATAGCACACATAATTCGTAACATGGACTATAATTTAATGAACAGTATTTGTTATTATTATCCACTCTTTATTACTATCATTTGAATGGAATTTTGATCATTGAATTCATGCTATTTTGCTGATAGAAATTCCTGGATAAGGTATGAATGTTTATAATTTTAATGTATTTGAAGACTTGGGTACCTAAAATTTGTCAATGTGAAATTACTTTTGAGATTTGGTCATAAATAAAAATGACAGCATATGTTGAAATTAAATTCAGGGGTGCTTATACATGCAAATTATAAAAAATAGATGTATACAAACAGCTGGCAACACAGCAAAATGTATTTAATGATTGAGCATAAAATACATTGTTGGGTGAACGTTTCCTAGTATTGTTCTAGTTGTGATTGCTGGTCATTGTGACCAGTTGTGGGATACTAGTACTAGTGATAATTGATACTGGTAGTGCAGGAAACTACTATAGTGATCGACAGGGACAGTGAATAAGGAGTGCTAAGCACACGTTTCCCTGTCATAGAAACATGTTCCTTTTGATTGAAAATAAAATAATAATAATAATAATAATAATGTACGGTAAGTACTGTTTTTAGCTTAACTGCTTTCACACCTGCAAAAATGGAAAAATATTATATACAGGATATCTGTTATTTATCCTCAAGATTTTTTTTTAAATTAGGCATATTTAGAATATTGTATTTCTCCTAAGAGAAATTATATATAAAAATTGAAGAAGGTTTTATATATATAAATATGCATGTGCATGTTTATAATACAGAGAGTACTACAGTACAATGCATAAATATTCCATACTGCTTTGCACAGAAATATATGTGCCAACCAGTATCGGTCTTTCAAAAAATATCTCTCGACCATTTCGTTTTTTACCTTCTTCCGTTGCCTCTTGGCTAATGAGAAGGGCAGATAATGGCGAGCTGAAAAAGGCCATGACACAACGAAAAAAAACAAGCAGAGTGAACGCGCGAAATCAATCCAGCGGGAGAACAGCACGGGAAAGTTGTAGACATTCCACGCATGTGCAAATTTAGCTTCTCTCATTGGCCACGGCTTACACGTCGTTCTGCAGGTGTGAACGGGTCTCCCGTATTTTATGCCCTTATGACTATGCCTCTATGCGCTTTATGCCCACGTCTGAACGCACCTTAAAGCGACTATGCCAGATCTAATGCAAAGAACAGCAGTGTCCCTAGTGGGGAAATTTGGAAGATAGGCATTAAAAAGGAATAGAGCACAATTTTCAATTAGAAAGTTTCAGAGCATCAATTAATTAGGATGAAATGTTTACTTTATAAGGTGTTGGCACTCACTTCATACAAACATTAACTTACTATCACTGTGTGACAGCTTGCTTGTGCAGATTTTTTAGCCCAAAGGGGCAATTTGCTCAGAAGGGCTATTCATTTTGTTTTGGCATTTTGCGTTGTTGGTTCACTTTTCAAATTGTTGCCACCAAATATCAGACAACTGCATTATACTTAAAGAAATTAAATAATGAAGAATCTGCATGATTGTATGTAACTTTCTTGCACTGTGAAAAAACGACAGTAACTAGAAACATCCAATTTTGAATGTAGTCCTCCACTTGAATATGGGCGTCTAGAAGCCCAAATTTTGAAATTGTTTTATTTATTTCATATTTTTCCAAACATTAAAGAAATTTTTATTAGCAAACTCCACAATTTCAAAGCGAGCAATGGGAACACTGCATTAGAAAAAATTTTATCTCCAACGTGCGAGACCGTGTGTCGGAAATGCTAAAGATACACTCTTTTAAATATTTTGTGATATTGCTGTTGAATTCAATTTTATAGTTTAAGTGAGAAGAACATGATATTTAATAAGCAAAGGTAACAAACAAAACGTTAAAAAACACCCCTTTGAGCATAATATAAAATCTGAACACTTTCCGATTTTTTTTTTTTTTTTTTTTGTGTGTGTGTGTGTGTGTGTGTGTGCATGTGATGTTATCAGACTGTTTTGACATAAGTACGTATTTTTTGCAACAAAAAGGTTCTTATTTCTTAATACCTGTGGCTATTCCTTTCAAACAATTACACAAAATAGAACACTTAAATTGTGGACATCTTTGGGTATACAGGCAACAGTTTATCTTATTCATGTAAACCCAAATGTAGTTTTGTGCTAATTAATTGATGCCCTAAAACTTTTTAATTGGAAATTTTGCTCTACCTGTTTTCATTTTTGATTTGCAATGCCAGTCTTCAAACTTTCGCAATTACGGCCGCTACAGTCGTTTGCATTATGTCAAGTGTAGTAATTTCACTATACCGTCACCTCACTTGCTAAGCTGTAGCTCTCTCCACTCACAAGAATTCTCAGGTTAAAGGGACTTCCTGTATATTTTTTCCTCCATTAAACATAAATAAAAAAATCTGATGTGTACACCACATGACTTCCTTGTACGGTGTAAAAACTGTATTGCACCAGATGGTGCTGTGTGCGCTTGAATTCCTTGGAGCAAAACTTTGATGATTGAGAGAGATGTAACGCGAATGTGAAACACTAACTAAAGTTTATATGTGCTTCCCTTTATTGTAAATGTATTTATTGTGTCGTCAATAAAATTTAGAGAAAATAACAAAAGGCGAGAATCCTTGCTGCGTCTGACAGGTAAGCGAAATTTCTTTATATTTTGATTTGAATATTGAGTTTTAGAATATTTAGAGCGACAAAGAAAGTATATGCGTATTTACATAGGGAATATTAAATTATACGAATTGCATTTCATTTAAACTTATTGGATTGAATTAAATCTACTTCGCAAACAGCGCATAAACCACAATAGAACAAATGCATTCTTTAAAATTCACTCTATTTGTTTACCCATAGTGACACTGTGGCATTAGGTTCACTTAACAGTATTATATTTCGTTCATATTATAACCTTTACCTTCACTCGCATTTGGTACCAACTACTGTGAGTCATCAACAATAGATCAAGTATGCCTTAGGCCTTTCACGTTTGTATCAAAAAGAAAATGTACTATTGGTACATCACCCAGAGGCAAAGACTGCATTCAAAAACTCTAAGGTTTGGAGTAATCTGGTTGTGAGGAAGCAAAAGTTTCCAAAGATCTTAAGTTGTGAAGCAATCTTTTACTAATGGTCGCATTCAGTCTCTGCTAGATATTAATTCGGAGTTATTTAAGAAGAAGTCTGAATTGAGAGCACTTTGCAACAGGATATGAAAACAGTTTAAGTCTGTGTTCAATGAATCAGTAATGTCCTTAACATGCACCGAAACGTCAAAGTTCAATCAGACTTTCGTCAAAAACACAAAGTTCATAAGAATTAGAATTTGTATTCACACATAATTGTCTTTGGCTCAAAACACAAAGTTCATAAAATTTTGTAGAATTTGCAATCACTACATCACATGAAAACACGTTAAAACTTTATTTGCAGATACGCCCATGTGGGCATGTCAATGAAAAAAGTAGCACAACTTCCACTTCAAATCTTTCAATTAAACAAAGTTTACAGTCATGAATACAAAATACTTGATTAAATACAAAGAAAAATGAACTATTTACATATTTACAGTTACCAAGATGCGTTATGGTGTATTGTGCGGGGTCTTTTTACCATGCTTTCAATTGTAGGATCGTAGTCACACAAACTTCGGAGGGAGGCGTATCCTCAGTTACTTAAACTTTCGAAGAAATTATGAGATGAGATTAATATCTGTTCGTGCATGGCTTTTACTTTCAGGTCACGCTGAATATCCGCATTTCTCACATACCAGGGAGCTTTCACTATGTTCATATCATAACTCAGAATGCACAAAATTTATATCATTTAAGGAATTATCTAATGGTTGCCACATGTTCTATTCAAATACTATAATAAAGCTAGAACAATGTATAAAAGAAATTAAGCAAGAAAAAAAGAAACAGTTTTTCACAGAGGATTGAGTATTTCTCATTCAATTAATTCAGTTCTCACTTCGCGACAAGGCAAAAATACATAAAAACCCAAAATATCTGTATTAAAAATTATGAGGTAAATTCCAGAAAGGATTAAGCATGATATAATTCGCAATTATAAATGAAGGCGTTATCTTTGTTGTTGCGAAGGTACGTTTCTCTAGATTGGCAACAAATCCACTATTCTGCTGTTTCAAATTTAAACAAGCAATGGCTGGCATCAAAAAAATTATTAGGCTTAGCGGCACTTAAGCAACCTTAACCAGAAGATAAGAACAGCATAATTCAATCATTTTTAAAGCAAAAAATATACAATTTACAAACATATAAGGGTAAAGAAACTGAGATCGCTGAGCTGGGTAACAGAGTGGATATATATATAAATTAATTTATATACCTTTGGTGCGGTCGATTGCAACCAAAATACGAGGTGCAAATCTACACGTTATAACAGTCCTATATACAAAATTTCAACGTTCTGAGGCTACTCGTTTTTGAGTTATGTGAGATATGTATGTACGTACGTTCGTACAGATGTCAAGAAAAATTCTCTTCAGAATTCATTTTAAAGCAGTTTTATAATTTTTCTAAGTAAAAATCTGAAAGCTTTCAGATTTTACCTTATGCCCAAAGGAGCTTTTTTTAATGTTTTGCGTGTTACCTTTATTAAATATCATGTTCTTCACACTTAAACCATAAAATTCAGCTCACCAGCAATATCGCAAAATAATTTTTAAATGAGCATATCTTTAGGATTTCTGATACAGTCTTGCACGCAGGAGATGAAAAATGTTTTTTTCGTACAGTGTTGCCATTTATCACTTTAAAATCGTTGAGTTCCTCAATCAAAAATCCTTTAATGTCTGACAAAATATGAAATAGATAATACAACAAATTCCAAATTTAGACTTTCAGATGCCCATATTTGCTGGAGGAATAAGTTATTCAAAATTCGATGTCTCTAGGTACCATTGTTTTATCATAATGCAAGAAACATAGATACATTTATGCAGATTCTTCATTATTTAATTTCTTTAAATATAATACAGGGTTGTAATAGCTGGTGGCAACAGTTTGAAAAGTGAATCAATGCAAAATACCAAATTGAAATTAATAGCACTTCTGGGCTAACATCCTTTGGGCTAATAAATAAATATACAAATAATAATTATGTAAGCCAAACACAAGAGTAAAAGCAAGGAAATAATTAATGCTCATGAAAGTCTTTGTTAACGGAAACTAGTTTTACAAAGGCATGCTACGCACAAAAGGCTTTTTTTAAACTATTTCTTGCTACTAAAGATAAATCTGTACAAAACAGAAAGAAAAAGTTAAGTCTCAATACTTTAAACTTCATATATAACTTGGGAGAATCATAATTCAGTGAATTAAACAAGGAAAGAGCAGCATTCTGCTTTTAATAATCTTCTAAATTTAACTTCAGATCTCTTAATAACATTGCATCACTGTACTTTAAAAAAAGCAGACTCAAAAATTGCAATTCACATGAAAAGTAATTCAAAATATTAAAATTAATTGGAATTATAAATTCAGAAAACAGCAGGAAAGTTTTTTGGGGGGTTGGGTGATATTCTCACCAATAGGTTGTAAAATGCAATATCTAAAGGTTTTAATGTAACTATCTTGAAGAAAATTTAATTCTTTCACTTAGCCACATTTCAGCTTTTCAGAGTTCTACAGTTTGAAGAAAGTTTAATATGAAAAATTACAACTTAATTACCATAATCCAATGCAATAATTAGTGCACTCAGTACTCAATGCATTGAAGTAAAATTACTAGAAGTTTATAAAAAATAAATAAGTTAAAAAAATCAAGTGATATATTTGTAGTCAATTATGTTTTGATAGTTTAACTTTGCCAATATAAATTGACTAAGTAGAACAAATAATTTGCTTTTCACATTAGATCACATAAATACACTAAAGTTCTTTAAAGTAATTTCACAAATATAGATATTAACAGATTGGCCAACAGGGAAACTTAAAGAATATTATTCTCAAAAACATTTTCACGTATTATGCATATTACTCTTAAAGAAAATTTAGTGTAATTGATTCCTTACTGGTTTTGCCAATTCCTCAGGCACCGGGTTTGGAACCGGAGGTGTCGGATTCATCAACGATGCCGGAGGTTGTGAAGGATACTGAGGCGTAAAATAGCCACCAGGAGGAGCATTTTGATTCTGGGGAAGCATTTGTGGCTCTGGAACCGGTACATCAGGAAATGGTGATGTTATTGGAGTTGGAGTTTCAAAGCTTGTACTACGCTGCTACAACATTTGAATTATTATAGTGAAATATAGAAACAAATTTAACATTTTTCAAACTATAATATTCAACAAACAAAATGATAAAACTGCAAAAAAATTATGCAAAATCAATTTACACAATACACAGCAGTAAGTACTTGTACATTTTTTAAGTAAAAAGTATAAAAGAAGAGGAAAGTTAAAAATGCAAGTTTAACAAAAAGCTCTCAAGTAAAATTACCAGAATAAGTTACAGAATTCAGTAGTGACACATGTAAAATATCAAAAAATTTTATTTCTGATATAGGTATAAGGTTAAAAGAACTAAAGAAATATCACTTGAAAGAAAAAGCAGCTTTTCTAGCTTGATTGAAGATTATAATAAAATGTTTTTTTTAAGGAAATATGATTTAATGCTAAAAATACATTTCTAGTCTTTCTTCCTTTTGGGGGGGGGGAGATAGATTCATCTAATAAACTGATAGATTTGATAAATTAACAGGTAAATATGATTTCACCAATAATGATAATCCGAAATTTACATCTGACAAAGATTCAGTTATAAGTTATAGCAATGCACATTAGGTTTGTTTTGTTTTGGTTTGCTTATTTAATTACGGCAAAGCCTCAAGGGCTATCTGCCTAAGGGAAGGGATGCCTTTGTAGAGGACTTTCTAAGGGAAACTAGCTCGTATACACGTTACACATGGGGAAAACCATGAAAACACCCATGCAGTCAGCCCGTTCGCGAGATCAAAGCACATTAGGAGTATCTGGTAAAGGGAAGACATGCCTGTGCGGAAGACTTTCTCATATTCACATTACACATGGAGAAAAACCACGAAAACACCCATACAGCCAGCAAATTCACCAGATTTCATGGGTAAGTACTTGAATAGGGCAAAGAACAAGAAAGCTATGTGCCTAAAGAAAAGAATGTTTGATTGAGGGACTCTGTATAGGAAACTAGTTTGTATTCAAGCTACACATGGACAAAATTCCAAAATTCAACCATGCACACATTCACCTGGGTGTGAGCCCCAGTCAAAATATGAGTCTTTGGTGGTCTTTAACCATTCGGCCACTGGTGCAGCTCACAGGATTTGAACACAGGTCAAACTACCAGTATTCAGAAATTTTAAGTATTTTGCCATTGGGGGACATCTATCTGGCACGAAAGAGGGAGAATTATAAACTTTCTGACATGAATTAGGGTCAGTATAAAAAATATAACTCGTAATGAAGGACTACTATGCCTATGTAAAGGCAGAAGAAGGAGGCTTCAAAGGAAAAAGATATAGAGGGAAAAGGTATTAAAAAGAAAATGGAAAGAATATGTTAACAAGTAATTCATAAAGATGGATTCTTTAAGAAAGGAAGATTTAACAAATGAGACATCAGAAAGGAAGATTAAGGGAAAGAGCATTTCTTAAAGAAGAATGAAGGAATAAGTTTCAAAAGTATTTTACCAAGGACAAATTATGACATTTTCTAAGAAAGATACACTACATGAAGGACTATAAAGAACTATCATAAGGTAACTTTTTTATCATATAATTTTTCAAATTTTATAAGAAAGACACTAACAGCAATTACATACCTAATATAATAGCTAACTCCTGGCACTATATTCAAGAACAAATTAGGACTTCCCTAAAATTAGGAAGCAGGTTATGATAGATATGTTTATGGACTTTAAGAAAAGTATTTATTTCACACTTACCATTTTTATTACCATTAAAAATTTTTTAGGAATTACACCTTTACTATGTATATATCTATTATGTTTTATTTATTATGCATTCATCCATTATGATTATTAGTACCTCTTTTATATGTTGAAAAATTCTATATTCAAGTTTATAGTAAACATTGACAAAAATGTGATATTAATGTATAATTTGAAACAAATAAAATTCGAATCCTGTAAAGAATATGTTAAAAATAGCTGTCTTATGGTAATGTACACAATTCTATGTGTTCAAAACAAAATCCCAGTCACCACTTAGATACAGCTGATTATAGGGGCCATGCATCAAGCAGGGTCTCAAGGGCCAGGTACGAGATGACTGTGTGGCCCCCAACTAGGGGGTTTTATTCTAGACAAAGGCAAACATGGTACTAAACCAATTAACCATTAGGGTAGGGATAATGGTGCTCATGTCCTCCGTTATATGTTATCTATCTGATATGAAAAAGTATCTTTTCAAACGTAAAAAATGAAATGAAGCCAAATTATTATAACATGCATTAAATGTTTACACACTTTACAGCAACCTGCTATAATTAATAATTCCATAAAAGACAACAACAAAATGAGATTGTGGACGTTCACTTTAAAGACTAAGATACATGAGATAAGCATCAGATAGCTTAGTAGTAACACTCTTATTTCAAGACTTATGACTCTTCTTTTGTCACATTTTCTAGTGTTATCACATTACTTACTTTGACAGGAGCTTGTTTTAATAGAGGAGGATCATTCCATCCAGGCTTGACTTCATTGTAACAACTGGGTAAGGGAGCCTGAGATATGGATGATGGTTGTGCAGGAGGAGGAAGAGGAGCAGCCTGAGGTTGCATTTGTGCCCCTAAATATATATTTACAAAAGAAAAGTTTTATATGAAATACAAAGTTAGAAAACTATTTACAAATAAATAAAAATCTGAATTTAAAAACTTCAGATTATAGTCTAATACCTCAGTGCAAATTTTATCAAATAACACAGTAATATCTAATATTGCTAAACCATAATACTTAATCTTGACAAAAATATTACAATTTAAAGAATTTCGAATCAGGCCACACCCTGCAATTTCGAATTTTCTTTTTGAAGCATTTGTTTCTGCACTTTTTTAATGAAATAAAATGATTAGGAAAACATATCACAAAATTTCTAACATGTAATGCAAATTACTTACAACGTTTTACATGCAAAAAAACAATGCACATACAAAACACAATTCAAAATTTTGCAAATAATGTACTATGGTGTTTTATTCACCATTGATATGAAATAACACTTGCTTTTTGAAAAAAGTATTACATATTACTTTATATCATTGCTATTAAGTAACAGTTAAATGATTTTTCTGGGACACATTTTGCATTGATGAGCAATAAACTTTTATACTATAGAAGGTAAATTAAAGATATTAGGCCTCATTGAATGGAAACAGCATTTTCTGCAATGGGGCATAAACCAATACACAAAAACAATAACACTTCTGTCAACTATGAATACAACAACGTTCTTTTACATGTTAAAATAAAATTAAGTGTAAGCATACATCTGACCACTACAGATCTTACAATAAAAGGAGAGTTTTTTTTTTTGTGTGTGTTTCAGTCTATGTGTTATATGTTTGATCAGATAGCCTGGCTCAGTAAAAGTAGGCGTCCAGTGTAACTCTGATTCAAAATCCAGTTATGACCACGTGCAGTGCTGTTAACGACCACGTGTTTCTGAGACTCCTTTGCCGATGCTTTATTTTTCTTCTTTTTCCCCTTTCTAGTAATTTCGTTCTCCTGATGAGGAGGGACCTTTAGCTGCCCTCGAACTCAATATGTGTACGCTAAATACAAGGTTGTAATTGCAATTTTGATTGCCACATTGCCGTGTTTCTCTTCTATTCTGGAGAGATCAAAAGTCTGAAAAGTGTGATATTGAACAACTGAAGAAAACAGTTAATTGAGAAGTATAGGAGAGAACTACAGATTAAATTGTCAACAAGGGGAAAACCCCAACAGCTAAGAATGCTTGGCAAAATCTAAACAAAATTATTGTTGAAGCATCTGAGAAAAAAATACCGGAATACCAGGAAAACACAATCATTGGTTTTATGAGGAATGCAGTGAGATTACAAAAAGGAAGAATGAGGTATATAGACTGAATGATTCAAAGACATTATTACACTAGAAATGCAGAGAAAAGGTACAAGGAATTAAGAAGAGAGGAGAAGAGAATTCATAGAAAGGAAAAGCGACCCTACCCGGATGAAGTTTACAGAGATATTGAAACTCTGAAAACACAAAAAGAAGCTAAGAAATTTTATCAGCAGATAAATAACATCAGAGCTGATTTTAATCCGAGAACAAAAACTTGCAGGGGAAAAAAAATGGAGAAATCACCAGAGACATGGAGGAAGTTCTAGTTTGTTAGTTTGAGTATTTTAACATTTTGCTTTTGGACAGAAAAAAGGAGAAAAAATCTTAAATAACATGCTACCTATGAGTTGTGAAGGCGAGGTTATGTAGCATAACCCACCAACTCTATATAATGTTGAACTGGCAATCAAAAAGCTAAATAATAATAAATCAGCTGGACTCGATGGCATCAAGGCAGAGCTTTTAAACAAGAATGAAACAAATTTAAATAAAGCAATTCATTATCTAATTTATTGTATATGGACACAGGAACAAATACCCTCTGAGTGGGAAGAAGGATCTCTTTGTTCTATTTATAAAACAGGAGACAAGCTAGAATGTTGTAATTACAAAGGAATTACCTACTGAATTCAGCATAGAAAATTTTCTCCATTATTTTGTATAAACGACTGCTTACATATACTTCTAATGTTATTGGGAATTACCACTTCCAGAAGGGAAAAAGATTCCAGAAGATTCCAGATTCCAGAAGGGAAAAACAGCAACTGATCAATTGCATTAGACAAATTTTCGAAAGAACTAAAGAATATAATATTGACATCTACCATCTGTTCGTTGAATTTAAAGCTGCCTATGACAGTATTAACAGAGAAAAACCACTTGAAGCAATGTTGAAATTTAATATCCCAAAGAAAGTGATAAGTCTCACAAGGATGACTCTTAGAAAAATGATACATATAATAAAAATTTCAACATATCTTTCGGAACCTTTTTATACTGAGAAAGGATTAAGACAGGAAGACTCACTATCTTGCCTGTTGTTTAATATAGTTCTAGAAAAGGCCATACGAGACCCTGGAATAAACCCAAGTGGAACAACCTTGCACATAATTATTCAACTGCTGGCTTTTGATGATGATATTGATATCATTGGGTGATCCAAACGGGCTGTGGTAGAGGCATTTGTCTCACTTGAAAATGCAGCAAGGAAGATGGGCCTAATGATTAACGAAGACAAAATAAATAGAATATTTATGACTAATACATGTTACTATGGCCTTAAAAAACAATTTAAATCCAAACTAATCAACACAAAAACTAGATTTAATTTATATAAAACTTTAATAAGGCCTGTTGCCCCTTATAGAAGTGAATGTTGGATACTTAATAGAGCAGAGAAAGACCTGATACCAATTTTTGAAAGAAAAATCCTAAGAAAGATCTTTGGATCGGTACAACAAAATGGCACGTGGAGGATTCTCTATAATCATGAACTATATGGAAAATATAGGAAATATGATGAAGCTGATATTATGATAACCGTAAAGGCATATCGTATCAGATGGCTGGGCTATGTGTTCAGATAGGATGATGCATTTCCAAACAAAAAGATATCCTTCTAGAGAATTGAGTTGAATAAGACGAAAAGAAACACCACCCAATAGATGGATAGATGATTTCAAAAATGATTTGAGGTTAAATGGAATTAACCGATGGAGGGCTATTGTGCCGAATGGGGTCAGGTGGAGGACACTTGGAGAGGCAGCCTTGGTCTGTAACAGGCAGTGGCATAGCTAGGATTCCAGCACCCGGGGACAATTGAAGAATTTGCGCCACTTTCTGTGTGCCAAGAATGGAAAACATTTCATTAAAAAAACTTCGTGGCGTCAATTTGGCACCACCTGGATGCTGCAACTGGGGACAGATGTTCTCCCTTACTTCATACTTTATCAAAAATAATCACTACACAAGTATAAAAATTTTTAAATTGCATAAAAACTAAAATAAAGGAAAGTGCACTAGAAATATAAAGAATTTGAAACCTTTATTATACATATGCTAATGGTATAAATCAGTGATTTTCAAAGTAGGAGGGAAATCCACCACCAACCAAGTCTATGGGGGCACCCTATCTAATCAGTTAGCAAATAAAAAAAATAATATTCATATGGCAATATTTGAGTCTGTGCTAAGAGGAAATATTATTTCATGCTTCATCATGAATAAACCATTGTGAACAAGCAACAACATGTTGCAATAGTCGCAAACAGAACCTATGCATCAATGACTGCTATATGTTTGGATCAAATTTTACTCACTGGTGACCTATGAGAAAGTTGATCAGAATCAAAATTTCACTAACATGTGTTACTTTTGGCATAATAAGGAAACAGTATATACTATTTATCTTAATATATCTTTTCATCAAGTTATTATTGAACAACACACATGGAACAGAGATTTGGTTAGTTAAAAACAAAATAAACAACATTTGAATGTATTTATTTACATTCAAATGTAAATAAATAAATTCAAATGTACTTCATGTACATTTTAACTGTACAAATTCATACTTTCATTATTTGCTTTTGTTGTATGCATTTTAAAAGCTTGATCCCCCTTTTTTGTCGATTTAATGATAGGAAATAAAAAAAAAGGTCCTTAATTTATGTATTTTTGATATAATAATAAAACCAATTACATATACACCAACAGAAAAAAATTCTTTTAACATTAAATCACTGTTTACTAATGTTGCACTTCAGAGAGCATTAAAATATTTTGTGACTAGGATTTGTCTTTGAGAAATTAATTCTTGAATTTCAGTATATAAATTTCATTTCATATATTTTGGAATTCAAGACTTAATTTTTCTCACTTAAGTTACGAGTTAGATGCACTTCATTTTCTAAAATAATTATCATTAAGTGGAAGGACTTTATTGCTCATAGATAAACTTTAAGTCAGGTAGTTACTGACATTTACATGCACTATTATTGAAGTCAAACTAATTGATAATTTTTTTTTTCTGGCTCAGAATGATAACACATTTGTATTTTTTGATGGTAATATTAATGTTAATATTTTATCTGTTATGAATGATCCATCCATAAAGTTCACTTTTGAATTTAAATATGTTAATTCTCTTTGATATTCTAAATAACCACAATGAATCTGAATTCAGAAATACTGTTTACTGTAAACCATTTTTTTGATCTGTTTGCATTCCATTTCCATGCTAATTCATGCCCCTGCTACGCAAAAACATGGTGTCTTTCTTCTGTTATTTATTTCATAGTCTCAAAGTTTGTTCTTCAGAATCTTTGCTGTCTTATGAACTCAATTATTTGAAATCCTCTTGCCACTGAGAGAGGACTTTTTCTCATAGTTACTGCCTTTTAAAAATTTTCATTTTGCCATTAAAAAAAAAAACAAACAAACAAACCAGCTCAGTATGTAATCAGAACAACATCCAGAATATGTACATATATTTTACTTTACTAATAAAATCTGAAAGCTTTCAGGTTATATATTAACCCCAAAGTTTTTTTTTTTTTTTTTTAACATTTTTTTGCTGCCTTTATTTATTAAATGTCATGTTCTTCACACTTAACCACATAAAATTCAATTAAAGGGCTATATCCCAAAATATTTCAAAACAGCATAGCTTTAGAATTTCTGATACACAGTCTCACATGCTAAAAAAGATTTTTTTTCCATACATTGCTCGCTTCGAAATCATTGAGTTCGTTAATAAAAAATTCCTTCAAGTTTTACAAAATATTAAATAGATAATAAAGCAAATTTGAAAATCAGGCTTCCAGGCTATTTGTGTGGAGAATTAAGTTATTCAAAATAGGATGGCTTTAGTTACCGTCGTTTTTTCATAATGCAAAAAACATACATACATTCATGCAGATCCTTCATTTTTTATATCTTTAAATATAATATAGGCAAAAATATTTGGTGCCAACAATTTAAAAACTGATACAGTCAAATACCGAAATCTGCCAACTCCTCAAATCCACGTTTCCTCTCAAAATATAAACATTCAGTTTATAGATTCAGGAAACCAAAACATTGAGTACAAAATATCAAAGAAAAAATACTTACCGAATAATGACATCATAATTACCGAATAATGATGAGTCATAACAGAAATACCAAATTATTGACATCGTGATAAAAGTTTTTCTCCTCTAATCTGCATCAAGGTAAAAAAGACAGTTCACTCAACTCTTCTTTCAAGTTCACGTTTCACATTGTATTTTCTGAGCTTTGTTATTTCACGAGATTATTTAGTGCTGCCTTTTTTTTTTTTATCTGGATATTTTGTGGATAAATTAAGAATATTTTAAATTTCAGCCTTTTTTAATACAATGGCAGATAAGAAATGCACTCATGATTTTAACGATGATTTAACTGCTTGCAACGATGAAAAACGTAACATCTGCAGATTTCTGGACTTCTACTATACACCGTTTATAGTGAACAGCCCATCTGAGCTAATGCTCCTTTCGGCTAAAAATCCCACTATTAGAAATACTATTATAGCTTTGTCATTCCATTTCATCTTTCTATCAGTTTATAAAATTGTTTTAAAATCAAATATTGGTTATAAAATACAGTTTTCCTTGACAGATGGTGTTACATTCATGTTCGCTTTACTCTGCTCATTATCCACTATAAAAATGATAGTAACTCCTCTTATTTTGTAAAAATTTTGTTGCTCCTCAAAAAGAGAAAACCGACTCTCTTGGAAAATCAATAGTTTTATTTAAAATCTATGGCAAACCAAAACATTTTTTTCGGGCTTAAATTTAAATCTATACTGACAGATAGAGCAAATGAATATTCACAACTTAGTTATTTCCTACAGTATGGCATCTTTAAATTTAGTTTAATAAAATATGTTCAGTAATTCCAATAGTTTTACTAAACTGCATATACTGGAATTAATGAGAATTCATTGTATATGAAATGATTTGTCATGTTCCTAAATCACGTTGACATGCTGTATAAATCTTGAATTACAATATACTTGGACCTTTTATAATTGAAAGAATAAATTATTAAACATTTATTACTGAGAATAATTAACAAACAAATTAACAATGTATTATAAAATAATGTTTCAGTAGATTTTTATTTTTGGTTAAAAACTAAAAGGAAAGAATGTGAAAAAGGATAATAAAATTCACAAAATAAAACAAGAAAACTCACCTGGTGGGTAGGCATTAAAAGCCGTTTGTTGATAGAAAGGAGCACCTGTACTAGCACTAGCAGGAGGATATGCAACATTTCCACCAACACTAAAAAAAGTTTACAAATTTCCAAGATTTTAAATGTTGCATAAATTTTTATATTTATGTACAATGAAACTATGATACCGTAAAAATGTACAAGCCAAAATGCTCATTTGTATAAATTTAGAAATGTAGAAAAAGCTTATCTATGTGCCTGTTTTGACATAAGAGAAATAAAAGTGAGAATTCTACATTCTTCACAATGTTGTGTTCCATGGGCTCATGGATTTGGAATAATTGACAACAACACATGAATCAGAACACAATTTATTCCCCAGTATTTCACACAAGAGTTCCAAAGACACATTTACAATCATCAAAAAACTATTACAAACACAGTCTTCTGGCTATCAGGCTATAACTGCGAAAGCAGCTTCATGGCAAAACACTAAATACAGCTCCCGACTCGACCAATCACTTTTGAGCTAATCTCTGAACCTTTGAAAACATTCTGGGGCAAAACAGTAAGAATTTGTTCTAGAATGTTCTCGCTCTGTCTATGAAATGTCGTTAAATGGGCAATTTCATTGCAAACCTGGAAAACCTGCTTTTCCTTACTATTTACTGGCAACCCTAATCGTGGAAGTTATATTAAGGTGGCTGGTCATTTCTCAACAATAATGACATATGGATTCTATCCCATTCCCCCCAAAACGAATAAGGGGTGCTGTATCGCCTTTCATTTTATGGCATAAGAAGATAAGACCTTTTCTTACAAATTCAATCTTCATTTGAATTTATCTCCCCCCTCCCCCCAAAGATCTCCCATTTTGTTACTTATAAGTTTATTTAAAAGCTTCGAAACATGATAGCACTTTTAAAATACTAAAATGTTACTTTAAAAGTTCATTAAGTAACATTTAAATGTTACTTTAAAAGTTCATTCATTTTACATAAGTAAATACTTATGTAAAATGTTACATTTTACATAAGTAAATACTTATGTAAAATGTTACATTTTAACTATCACACTTACACACAAAATATTAACCAATATTTTATAATGCTACTGCTGGATGTACAATCTTATTTATTTATTTCTTTTGAAAAGGGGAGGAAAAAATAGTTTCTAAAATCTGAATGCTAAAGCATCTTTTTCTTTCTCATAAAATAACAATCGTCTGTTTATTTTTAAAAATTGGTTCATCAGAAATTATTTATTGTGTTTCATCTGCTTTTTTATTACATTTTCCCTTCAATGCTACAGCAAGAAATATATCTATAATTTTTTTTTTAAACTACTATGAATTCATATTTTCATGGAGTTTAAACAAATAAAATAGAGATTGCATTATTTTTTATATCTTGTTACCAAAGTAACTACAAGGAATGGTTTGTAGAAACTACAATACGATTTTTCTTATTTAAAGATTTTTCAGTTTCTTGAACATAAAATAAAGCCCATTGTATTGAAAAATATATAATGGGCTTTATTTTATAGCAGCCAATCCACACTAATGCGGTCATGAGTTGGCACAAACTGATCAGAAACGAGTTCAGAGGCGGTATATTCTAGATGGTCGAAGACCATGCGAGTTGAGCGAACTTTAACTTTTTGCCCCTTGCCGCACGAGTTTCAGATATCTCCTTTCAAATGTCCAATTTTTATCACAGGTTTTAAATGAATATGCTTTCCAAAATTTCTCTTGAAAATATGAAATCAAACATAATAATCTTTATATAAAATCCAGATAATTAAAAATATATACATTAATACAGTATTTAAATAAAAGAAAATTCTGAAGTTTATTAAAAGTAATTACCCATAATTATAAGCCATTAATAATATATAACTGATAATTTTTACATAATAATCTAAAGCATAGAAAGATTGTTGTGAGAAAATAATGATAGATTTTGAAATTCTAGTTTTTGAATTTTACTTAAACTCTACACTAATATAAGGTTGCTTTTACAACCTCCTGTTGCCTAATGGATAAAGCTTGTCTCCTAGAACCGAAGATTGTCAATTTCAGTCCCATAAGGGCAGTGTTATAATGGAGATGCTATTTAAAAAAAGTTATTTACAGAAAATTTATTGCTAGAGAGTGATATACAGCTATTAATGCTAGAGATATATAGCTATATAGCTATTTATTGCTAGAGAGTGATATACAGCTATTAATTATTTAGGTTCAAAACAGCATAAATACTTATTCAGTTAGCTTGACATGGGAGTTTAAAAACCAGTTTTCCACTAATGAAGCCTTTACAGCTGATGCCAGACTAGCAAAAGCTCTACTCGTATAAAGTTATTCGTTCATTCAGTTTTAAAAATTTAGAAAGTTGGTGACAAGTAAATCATTTAAAAATTCAGCAAAACTATCATTTACACAGAAAGGAAGCTTTCCAGTATATGTCATTTAAATTAAGCCAAATTCAATCTTAGATATTGAAAGCAGACTTTATGGTACTCTTCTAGGCATTTTAATGGCTTCAGATTTTTCTCAAAATGCATGGTTCCACAAATTTTAATCAAGCCAAAGACTTAATCTTGTTAAAAATTTTTCATTAGTTTGATGAACACTCATCTGCTTTAGCAAATTTACTAATTGTGGAATTCAATTTTGAAAACAGAAAAGAAATATATAAAGTGCAGTTACTTCAGTGAGTTTGAGACTAAAGTAGTTTTATAAAATAAAACTTTAGACAGTAACTCTTCATTAATATTTAAATGACTAACTGAAGTCATTACAGTTACATTTAAGGGTAAAATAATATGCACAGATGGCATAAAATACTTTAAAAGTTTTTAAAAATTTTCTCCTCTTATTATTATATTTAGAAACCTTTTTTCAGTGTGATATTTAGTAACCCTATAAATCGTAAATACATAATAGCAAAACATAATTTTTTTATTATATTAGCTAAATCTTTATCATTCAACAAAATTCCTAAATAACATAAATTAGATACATACAATGATTCCTTTCTGGGATATCCTCTTACTATCCTCCGAACCATACTTTTCTGGGATATTCTGATGAAAATTAGTGTTCGAATTATGCAAAAGTAATTTAAAAAAATTTTGATGGTATTCAAGTGTACCTCCACTAAAATTACTTGAATCTCCTTGTTATAGTTGTCTCTCACATATTAATATAACTCATTCCTTTCTGCTTCTTTTTTACGTAGAGCAAGAAGTAAAATAATAAGCTTTGATATAGCAGAAATTTGACCCATTGTAATTTAAAAACAGAACAGTAAGAAGTCAAAATACCACACAAAAATACACAATTTCCCTCAGTGGGCACATGTGAAAACTTTTAAAGTATCCACCTTGGTTTGAATTGACACACGCAGAAAGCCCTTATTTCGGACTTTCCACTTTTTATGCCAAAAGACTGTGTGAATGTGGCTTAAGACTCTAGAAAACTATTCTAGATCATTTCTTCTACACTTCAATAACCTTAAAATGCAAGAAGCAGACATTTATGACTGTTTTGTATCATCATCATACTTATATATAAAAAACCATCTGGTGTACAGACAACTCATTTTTAATAGCAAATTGCAAATGAGATTTAACATGGCTTATGTAATTCTACAACTGGTAATTAAGAAAGAAAAGTTGGTTACCCAAAATGTATAACCAATCATAGTAAGAAAGAAACAATTCGCAGCTTCTTACACTTTTTTCACAATGGATCTTACTCTTAATTTCCGTATAATTCCTTTGCCTGACATTAAAAATCATATACAGTACAAAGTCCGTAATCCGGACTTGTCGGGACTTTGGTGATTACAGATTAGGGGTTTTTCCGGATTATAGGTTATCAACTTAAATCTGGTAAGATGGCATGCAGAAACTATACAATTAAAAATATGAAACCGTAATTTATGAAACAAAGAGCAATTATGATCTACAGGGTATCAAAATTTACAAAAAAAAAAAAAGTTTAATATTTGTTTACTTTATTAAACATTTCTTTCAATGTAAGTTGTTCAAGTTGCTTCGTTTTTTGTGCTAATACTTTCTCTTTAATTCTATAAACAGACATAATTTCTTGCTCAGTTACAAAATTCCACTGTTCAAGTTCTGTAATTGCTGTGTCGAGAATACAGACTAACTTGTCAATCGAAATTTTTTCGTTTTCAATAACCTCTCTGACACTTTCTTCACTATCGGAAGTGCGCATGGGTAAACGCTTTACGAGCATGCATAAGTTTGTGGCTTTGAGGTCTAGATTATAGATCATTTCGGATAATGGACGTTCGGATTACGGACTTTGTACTGTACCATTAAAACTCTCCTAAGTTCAGATCCTGGACAGCCATATGCTTCATTCCTGAATTTCATATATATCTAAAATATATACAGGAACAGATTTTAAGGACTTATTAAAAATACAGACACCTTCCTTCCATGATTTGCCAAGGAATTTTTTATCAGTTTCCATAATCAGAGGAAAAGCTGTGCATAATATAAATCAGGCCATTCAACCCTTCGTGGATGAGGAAAAAATTCTACTTAATATAACTATACGGACAATCCACAGATTTCATATTAAATCTTAGTAACAGATAAAAAATTATGCTCTTAGATTAGATATAAGAAAAAAAATCATCCCACTATTATACCGACAAATTAAAAAAAAATTACCGATCATCCACTTATTTCAGGTAAGCACATTTTTGCATTTTATCATGAATCTTTTAGTACTAGATATGAGTAGCAAAATTCTTAACAAACAGCTGCATGAAAATATTTCATAATCATAGCCAAAATTTAATTGTAGATTTTAACCAAATTAAAGATAAATTGTTAAGAAGTACCCTAAAAACTGATATAAAACTCTAATGATAAAGCTTTCTACAGGATCTATTTTAATAAAGAAGTTACATTAACTAGCTGTAGATTTTATGCAAATTAAAGCTAAAATATTGAGTATCACGAAAACTGATATAAAGCTAAAATTAAACTTAAGGTATTTGATTATCTTTAAATGAATTTTCAATGCACCAAATACTGGCTGATTTTAAGTGTGGCAGATAAAGACTGTCATAGGCAGAGATCAAAAGCATGCAAAAATGCTGTGTGTGCAGGACCTCCATCGGTTCAGTTTGAAAATATAATTCTTTTCTCGCATGAGTTTGAAAATATATTACTTAATCTTAAAAAGATTCACTTCTTTCGGAAATTTTATTGATATGTATAACATATTTGATTAGCACAAACTTGATATTATGTGGTTTTTTATAAATTTTTATACATACCTTAATTACAAGGACGCTCATTATTTTGAAATCCAAAACAATCAAAAGCTAGGACAAATTTAAAACATCAGCTTTCTAGACATTATTTTCACTTTTAATGATACTTTCTAAATGGCATTTGTCAATATTTGCAAATAGGCATTTTAATTTTTAAGACAAAATGAAATTATTTTAAATGTTTCATTGATTAATTGTTTACAGCAAATTACAAAAGGAATATTTTTCAGGAAAGTTTTTAAAATTTTCCTATAAATTCCGATGTAAAATTAGAATAAATCAAGCTATCTTGAAAAGAGTGATTTGTTTAAGCATACTTAGTAAAATAATAGGAAAATGTGTATATTTTACTTATGCTATATTTCGAAGGTAGTAAGTGGTAATTATGAAGCACGAAACTTACTTGCTGTCAGGCGGAGAGTAATATGAAGAGACCGCTGGCTGAGGCGGATAAGGATTCATTTGAGGCTGAGCCACAGAGAATGCTTGTGGTTGATAATACTGTTGGTTAGAATAAGTGTTTTCAGAATAAACACTAGGATCATGTAAATGCCTAGGATATCTTTGAGATAAATGGTGAGTTCCAGCAGTACCTAAGACATCAAAATTAACAAAATGTTAAAAATATTGTAATGCTAGGGAAAAAAAATCATGTGCTTTCTGCAGTTTTACAATTTTGTTCTTCTTGTCATGTGAATTAAATCTACCATAGCATGTGTTGCGCCACTTATGGTAAGTAAATTACCTCAGTTAATACTTTGAAAAAGAGCAGAAATGCCTCAGTTTATCAACGAAACTATGATTAGAACAGTAGTTTAAAGATTTTAAAAATGGATTTGAGTTTGTAATGAAGTGGTTTTGTTGCAAATAATTGAAATAAAACATTTATGCCTAAAAATAAACTTCTTGCCTGTCAATTTCAAGCAAGCCGTCTCATTTATCTGATGAATATCTTTAGTCTAAAGTAACAGATAGCATGTATGAAATGGCTTAAAAATCAGAAAAGCAGATGAAATTTGGGGGAAAAAAGAAACAATTCATCTCTGAAAGAATAAAAATTTTGAAAATGATATGGTTGTGCCTTTCTCAGTTCAAAAAGTTTGTGGAAAAGTCATGCCACATGGTGAAGTTTGTAACAATTGAATTTGGCTGTTTTACGGCATTGTCCATACTCTTCACTGAAGAAGAGATATCATCTGAGTTAGTGCTATTTCTCTTGCAGAGCAAATTAAGTCAAAATATTTAACTATTTGATATATCACATTTACAGAAACAGATCATATAAGTTTTGCTTTGTATGATTTAAAAAAATTTATTTATTATTTAATTTATTTATTTTTTTTTTTTTTTGATCCAGCATCTTACAATTTCGTGTCCGGATAAAAATTACTACATATCTTGCTAGTTTTATCTTGGAAATTTAAAAATCAGATTTTTCACAGGATAAAAGAACTAAAACTTCTTGTCTTGGTTCTAAAGCATTAGATACATATACAAAGATATCCTTCAGTTCTTTGATAATTTCTTTACATCATTCTGCTCTAATACAATAAATAAGCTACAGCATAATTGGAAATGAAAGAAACTTCATTTTTAGAAATTACACATGCACAGAATACTGAAAAATGGGATGCAGCCATTTAAAACTGATGCCAGGCATACACAGTAGCACTGGAAATTCAGCAATTTGAAATAAACATAAACATCACACCAGATAACAATCAACATAATCCTCAACACAAATGCTTCAACAAATTTGTTTCTCATTTCGAAAATGTAAAATAAGAATTCTAAAATAATTGAAATAAATATGAAGACAAAAATTAGTACTTTTCGCTGGCATCTGGGTAGGAGGTTCTGACGGGGCGGCAGCAGCTGCAGGCATAGCTGGAGACATGGGAGGTGGTATTGTGGCACTTGGTGGTGGAGTTACCATTGGAGGGAGGGGCTGTTGATATTGAGCAGATGTATTGCTTGTAGAATAGGCAAAATTTCCAGGCATTGAGGGAGCTACACTACCATAAGAGAACTAGAAAAATAACAATTCTGTATAAGAATATGTAAAACAAAATGACAATTTAATTCAAATATTCACATTATGCCAAAGGTTCTGAAACCTCCTACTACAGACATCACTTGGTATATCACTAAAAGTTTAAGCATGCAAGCTACAATATAAACCACATTTTAAATTAAAGTGTGAGTGTGTGTGTGTGTGTATATATATATGTAATAAAAAAATTCCATAGTCAAAATTACACTTAAATTTCTAACTGTATGTTCTTTTTCATTTTTAATGGCGACGGTCTCTTATTTGAAAGTACGCGGAATTAAATCCACAGTGCCGTAGTCAAGTTGTTTTTCCCACCTTTTCTACACGTACAGTTATAGAATGTTCTGGAAATATTTAAAGCAAACTGGATTGGCTGACGTCATTTCTTGGAAGCTCCGCCTTTCCAGTGGCTATAAAAGGACTCGCAAAGGAATATCGGGGGCTTTTCTTTAATGTAACGATGCAGTAAACGTCATACAAAATGTTATTAGTTAAAAGTCCTTTTATTTACTCCGGATATCTGATTTTGTAACTGCTATTTCTCCTGAATAATAATAAATGGATCCTGTTTTTTAAACTTATCGTCTGATAATTTAAGCTACTACTACATCTATATTTCTTCAATGATCTATTTATTCTGGACAAAAGCTGATACGTCACATATATATACCCATTTATACCTGAAAAATCTGAAATTTTGCCTGCTGGCTGAATTGCCTGCTCTCGCTTAGAAACTCTTATTTTAATTGTATTTTTTTAAAATTCTTTTAACATATAATATATGAAACATTAGATACATTTTTTTATATTTAATTTAAGGGGCCAGTATGCGTGATGTAACACTCCAGGTACCATTCCTGAAATTCATGTTAAACTATATGTCAGATTTAAATAATTATACAAGTATTAAATTTTCAGGACTGATACCATTCATATTGAAGTTAAAAATACATTATACAAGTAAAAATATAATTAAATCCTTCCTCTCTTGCTGGACATACACAGATCTAGGAAAGTAAATATTTTTTAGTTCAGTATTTAAATGATCTTCTGTTTCTTGTTTTCATGGATTTCTATTTAAAAACACGATAACCATCAGGTTTTGCTGCAAATTATAGGAAATCATTAACAGAAACCAACAAAATTATCAAAATTATTTATTGTGGCAGTGCTTTACTACATGCACATATGACTGAATAGTATGGTTAGTTTTGTGAAGAACATGAAGGAAACAGATGGCCCAAGGATTAAATGGCTATCAACAAGTGGAGAAAGCTAATTTTGCCATTTATTTAGCCACATCTAAGAAAATATGGCCATGATTATAATCTGCTGGCACACTTTATACAGTTCTTAGCAAAGTGCAGAGCTTCCAAGCTTCATTCTTCACTAACTTCTTCCTGTTTCCCACACTGACATTGGTTCTAAAAAAGGGCACTTCATTAATGTTGAGAACATTAAACAAAGACCATCTAATGTAAAAGTATTCTAGTTAACTTGACTTCAAAAAACCTTTTGTCAACGGATGGAGTAATCAAAATTATGTATAAAGGGAGGGATAATCAATTTACTGCAGTGTCTTTAGCTTCCTCGTATCACCAATTTAGGAATTACAGTGCTCAACATCGTATATAATATTTACAAAATATTTTGAAAATAAAGGCAACAATCAAATTAATGAAAATATTTTACGAAAATATACATACACTTTTTGAAAGCAAGAATTTTTTTATTCAACTAGACATTACAGAAGTTTTTAATATACATGGATACGTTTTAATACTTTAAAAGCCTCAATTCTCATTCTGCATTTCAAAATCATTAGCAATTTTGACTGGAGGCACTTTGTTGCCAAAACATGCTGATTTAAAATAGGCAATTTTTGATTAAACTAACTACAATTTCATAGCAATACAAAATGAAAATGTAAAGATTAAATTCTCCCATTTTTTATATGAATATAAGTTACAACAGCTTGTTTAATAATAATCATATAGAGATGAGATATCTTTACTATCTGTGGTAGTAAGATGTCTGCCAACAGCCTAGTTAGCCAGTTACATATAGCTTGGTTAACTAGTTTTAAGAATTAAAGTGAAAGCTATGTTTAAAGTATGAATTCTATAATACTTAGTAAATTCATAAAAATAACTGATCAGGTTAGTTAATGTGTTTAATTACTTGCATATTTTCTTGTCAACTGTAAATGCTGTCGGATATCTCGCCAAACTTGTGCCAATCATTCCGATGGAATTTTGAACGAATGGCTGGATCTTTATTAGTTAATTATAGATCACTTTTTTTTAGTTACATAAACAAATATAAATTATGGATACAACATATAAAATGCTAAATTATCTGATAAACAAATTCATTACAATTTGTGCTAATTATTCTGGTGGCAAATATTCTAATGCATACTTGCCAACCTTTGACACTCAAAAATCAGGAGATTTTTTTAAGAAATCAGGAGATTTTTCTCAATGTTAAAAAGACTTTTTAAATATAAAAATATAGTTTTTAATAATGAATTATCTTTAAATAGTAAACTAATTCTTAAATGCAAGCAACACAAAATACCTTACAGAATAAAAACATTTTTATTACTTGCATCATTTAAGAAAATAAAATTAAAAAAAAAAAAAAAACTTTAATCAGTTTTCGTACAAATGTTATAAACAGTGGCAGATTTTGCTTTCTTTAAGAAACTTCCTAATTTTGTTCATAGCAATTGCCATGTAGGCCTGCTTTCACTAATAAAAGTTTTTCTAATGTGTCATCGTTAATATTAGATCTAAATTTAGTCCTCGTTTTTGCAACAACACTGAAAATCCTCTTACACTCCGCATTACTATGGGGGAACTGTCAAGATGGCCAACATAATTCTAGACAGTTCACTATATTTTAAAATTCCATCAGCACCTTTCAGTTTTCCAATTAAACTCCACGGTATCAATAATCCTAGCTGATTTTATAAATTCATTCAAGTTTTCTAATTGTAAACTGCTGTTATGCAGCTTTTGGAACTGTTTCAATTTTTCCTTCCTTTTAGAACTCCTTTCAAGAATAAATACAACAATGGTGTTCATCCACATTTATTGGTAAAGAAGCTACCCCTTTTTCAGCTGCTAATTTAAGAGGTGACAGTGCACCTCATAATCTGCAAATCTGAATTTTCCTTCCTTAAGATGCCTGCAGCCTACCAATACTGGTGCATTATCAATTTTTAATAATTAGCTGTGCTATATTAAAGCCTGTCAAATGTCCTTCTAAGTGGGAACAGAAATAAACTGCACTCAATTCTGAAGACTCTAGATTAAAAAAAGAAGCAACAATTGGATACAGTTTTGAATCAGTATTATTGCTTCCATCCGTAGAGAGGCAGAACGGAGTTGTTTTAATGCAATCAATAAATCAAGATTTATTTTTCAAACCCATTTCTTTAACAATTGCACCTGTTTTGGTTCTTACACTTGAGTATTTCTTAGCAATTTCACGATCGGGGAAACATTTTTCCAAATAAAGCTGCAGTGTGATCCTATGCATTCAGTGGCAGGTAGGGCTCAAGTAAAAAGGCAGAGAACAGACATTCTGCATTAATAACTTTTTGGTCCTCTGTTTTCAAAGAAAAATTTAATTTTCCATTTTTTTTACCCAAAACAACTCATGTTGTCCTTGTGTACGCACATGTTTGAGAACATCCGCCCATCCACCATGCAAAATCGAAAAATCTTAATGACAGGGGGTACACATCTCAAATTTATTACATTTCCTTGAGGAAATAATGGAAGGAAAGTCAACTGTGTACAATTTTTGAAACGTACATGAGTATTTCACCTTTCTCGCAGACATAACAAAAGATTATAATTTCTAAAACTATATCCCAAAGGCATGTGTACTCACACAACTCAGAACAAAATGAACGAAATAACTAAAGAACATTCAAATAACAGCTTGCTTTGTCCTCATTGGCGAATATATGCCGATGACACGCAGTGGAGCTCGATACCCATTGGAGAACTGGAGAACGATGTTTCTGGATACATATATTCTCTCACTCCAAAAGCAAAGTTATCTAATTTGCAAGGTTTTGTTAAATATAATTTAGAGAAAATTCATTGCTTCAGACGTCCAAAATCTTTTATTATTATTATTATTATTTATATAAGAAAGTATTAAGCCGAGTTCCATAAAAATCGTGAGAAATTTTAAGAATAAAAAAAAGTCGGGAGAAATATATTGTAAATCGGGTTGGCAGGAGAGTCAAAAATCGGGAGTCTCCCGCCTAAATCGGGAGAGTTGGTAACTCTGCTAATGGCTTGTAATAAATAACTAAAAATGAAATAGTGACTTTATTACTTTGCACAATGTAGGTTAGTCTATATACAAATCTAATCTTGGTTATTTAAAAGGTTCACAGGATTTCTCAGAGTTTTTTATCATGCCATTTTGCCAAACTCTTGTTTTTAAATGTTTTGAGTACATGCTCTGGTATTGGAATCAATCAAGTTAAACTGCTCATTATTTTTTAAAATGTTCAATCCTACATCTAATAATTCATTAGTTTGAAAGCCTTCCAAGACTTGAATCAACTATAGTTCAAAGACGAAGGAGGTCATGTCATATTCCATGCTGGCTTATTAGGAATTAACCCTCTGAGCATTATGACCAGGTTTATCCAGAAGAAAACCATCAGAAGTTTTGCTACTTGGTATATATTAGCTTATAATTTAAGATATTTTCTTTCTTTCTTTAATAATGTAAATATCATCTTAATAAATGTAAGTTCATGAAAATACAGACTAAAATAAGTAATTATACAAACTCAATTAATAAATGTTGTTTAAATACTGATCTTCATGATGAATCTAAACCTGTGCCACTCAGAGGATTAATTGGGACTACAGAAAACCAAAGCAAAGACCTTACGAGTGGAATGTGATATCATATTTATACATTATCGATGTTAAAAGGCACTCTTTGATAACAATTTTTATTTGTCAAAATGTTCAACAACAAAATACATATGTACCCAATATTCAATGCACAGTAAAACCACATATTTTAAATAAGTGACTCAATGTCTCGTATTAATTCCCATACTCAAGGGAAAAAATAGTTATCTTGTAAAAGTATTTATTACTTATTCAAAAAACATTTCTCAAATGTAAATAAAGGGAAAAAATTACTTGTGGTTGTGCAGCTGGTGCCTGGAAAGATTGCCTCCTTGGTTGAGATAAATTAGGCTGCTGCTGCTGTTGTTGTCCATACTGTGGCTGTGTAACCGACACAGAGCTCGAGCGACGCACATCAACTCTCTGAAAAGGAAAATGGGGAGAACGATATCCAAGAGCCTGGTAAATCCTGTCCCTCAAAATAGCCAACGTTCTCTGAAAAAAAAAAAAAGTAAGAAACAGAGATGAATACATCGTATGAAAATCACTTTACATAAAAATATTTTCTTAGTACAAACATAAACATAGTAATTTTAAAGCAGTATCTATTAAACTAAATTCAGTGGCACAACAGTCCTAGTGGGCCACAGTCTGCAGTGCCCTGAAATCTGCTTTCTTGAACTTGGTCCCCGGAGTGGATCAGCATATGCCCTGGGCAAGTGGTCAGCTTGTTGCAGGACTTCCGGTGTTTAGTCCCCAAGCGAACTTGGCACTCATGTTATCGACCCACTCAAGGGATGAAAGGCTGAGTCAACCTTGCCCAGCCTGAAGATCGAACCTCGGACCTGTGGTGCAACTGTGCTATGTGCTAGCCACTTTGCCACTGGGTAGTCATTAAAGCAATATCAATGTTTAGATAAAAATGTCAACACTTAAAATTACCTCATTTGGATCAACTAGATAAGTTGCAGCGCTGTTGAGGCTGCCTTGAGTTGCCAACATCTCTGCATACTGTCCCAGGAGAGACGAGAGGACCCCAGTTTCAAGGGCAGGTGCTGTGCCAGACAATTGCTCCACGGCTCTTCTCAGAATCATGACTTGTTCAATTAAACTCTGAAAATTTATTATCAGTTATCAGAAGAAAATCTTATAATTTGATTGAAGATATCTTCACAGATGTAAATTTAATTATTCGAGAATAACCCGAGTTTCAGTTTACTATGTGGCTTTTAAACCATAACTTTAAACCTAACAGTATAAAATAGTACAAAGTCCGAAATCCGGACTGGTCAGGAACTCGGTGATTCCGGATTTTTCTGGATAATAGATCATCAATTTAAATCTAGTAAGATGGCATGCAGAAATTATATAATTAAAAATATGAAATCCTAATTTATAAAATAAAGAACAATTATGATATAATGGGTATCAAAATTTATATAAAAAGCTTAATATTTATTTATTTTATTAAACATTTCTTTCACTGTAAGTTGTTTAAGATGCTTTCACAAAAAATTCAAAAAATTCCTTTTTTCTTTTTTCTTGTGTCATATACAGTGGACTTTCCAATGACATACTCCTCGCATAATTTTGCGACAGATATATATATGTCTTTATCCATTTTTTGCAGCAATTCCACTTTTTGCTCAATAGACATCTAAACATGGTTTCAAGTTGTAGATCTCTTGGCAGCTCCAGAACTGGAAACTTTTTTCGACATAATCGAAAGTTCAAGCTCAGTTTTTATAAAAATGTGCATTGAATTAAGCCTGCACTGTAATAGTTTAGTTGCTTACTATACCTACATTTATTTCTTGCACATGCTTAAAACTAAACTGAGTCCTAAATAAATAAACTCCCACATATACTTAAGGCTTTATCTACGGCTGGCGCTCGATAACGCCTGGTGCAGTCTCTACGGGTCCTAAATTCTGCTACAAAGCGCTTTCTTAAGTCCTAAATTTTCACCGCGCCTAAACTTTGGATCCCAGTGCTTTCCCTAAATTATAAAAACTTCTCATACCTTAATTTTGAAGCTTGGTGCTCCCCCAAATTCCAAAAATTTCACCTTCCCTAAATTCTGCCGTCCGCTGCTGACATATTCTGTCGCTGCTTCTGGGTTTATGGTGAATAACATATCAGGTATTCTTAATTAAAATAGCACTAAATGTAATCTTTTGGCCTACGAGTCTCATTAACAAAATCTATTTTTAGCATATGAAAAGAAATTTTTGTTCAATTTTTCCTCAACATTTCTTAGAGTATTTAAAAATCTATAATCATCGCCAAGCATAATGTTAGCATAAAAGACTCCCATGCTCTTGTTATTCAATTAATAATATGAAAAAAGTTAAGACATCACAGCATGAGTTATTACTGAAGCTGTCATGTATTGATAACATGCGGTGATGAAAGCAAAATATAATAAATAATGACTTGCCATGTTGGCGTCAGGGATATAAAATAGGTGAATGTTTCGGTTTGAGATGTATACCAAGTAGATACTCAGCTACGGAGCCAAATTATTAATCTCACAAATTTATGCTTACATGCTTGTTTTTCAGCAATGAGGTATTTTATTTAGTGCGTTAAGTGAAATTAAGAATCGGAATTTGTAAGTGAAAACCTCCATGTTTTATTAAGGAAAGAAAAATGAAATGCAAATGCGCAAAGCATTAATCATAATTAAAAAAAAAAAAATGTTTGTGGCTTCTGAATGTGTGAAGTCCGGATAATGGACTTCCAGATTTCGGACTTTGTACTGTATAACATAAGTATGCAGAAGAAGAAATGTAGATGTAGGCATTTGATATACAAGTTTACAAATAAAGTGATTCTTTTTATAATTTTAGTCTAAACTTTTTTTTTTTTTTTTTTGTGTGTATTTATTTGGCTTTTCTACAATGAACTGCATTTTTTATATGCTCAATTATCGAGAATTTTCGCATTTCCAGAACTTGGCATTTCTCGAGCTTTCCAGACAGTTGGCTTTTACTGTTATATAACAGATATATAGAAAAATCGCTCAAATTTCCTTCTTTGTAATAAGAGTTTAGCAATAAGGGAAACTAACTTATGCTAGGTATCTAAAAATAAAAAAAATGGTTTTGAATTACTTTACATCATAACACTATGCAACACATTCTGAAATATTCTTTTTTAACAATGTTACTGCTGAGGAGAGAACAAAAAAGATGCAGAAAAGAAAATCATAAATCTCATGTACCTGCCAGTTACATCCTTGGAGCAAAGACAAATTACCACAACTTTGTGATTTTAATTATTCAGCCAATATCTATAATGTTTTAAGCTCAATATATCAATAAATTTTATTTCTAATCTGATAACAACACTGACCATACCAGTGTTAAAAATTACCTTGGAAATAAGTGTTGTAATCATATAACTTTTTTCCTTTGCATTATTTTATGATGCACATTACACATGAATAAACAAATGCATATATAAAAACACTTAGTTTTAAAGATCAGAGCTAAAGAGTAAATTTTCATAGAACTAATTCTAAATTTAAAGAACCATCTAATTATAAAGAAAATTCAGCTTAATGAGTTTAAAGTATTATACCTGCAGAGTAGTAACATCCATATTTTCGTGAATTTTAACCCATGATTCTGCAAGTCGTTCAAGATTACCAGCACTTATGTAACATAATGCAGCATTTTCCTTTAATTTCGGCTCATTCTCTAAACGACGACCTAGGTGCTCTGAAATTAAAATTATAATTTTTAAAACTTTCTTCCTACAACTGCATTCAGGCAAATTTTCTATATTCATTTAGGCAAATTTTCATCTTCACACGCACATTTCATGACTATCAACATGCACTGTTTGTTTTCCATAATGGTTGCCATTTTCTTAATAGAAAAACATGGATGATAGAAAACATAATATAATGTCGCCAAGAAAAGATACAACATTTTAAGGTAACGAATAATGCACAGTTATTTGTTTCCCGATATTGCTTTAATTTCTTCTTAAATAAGTTACTTTATCAGGTAAATAAATGAATTATAGTCACTGTAAACAGGGGAAAAATTTAAATTACTTGAGTTATGAAAAGAGAATTTATAATTGAGGTAAACTAAAGATTTAGTCATATTTTTTTAACCCTTTGGCCTGTAACAACGAGTCTGACTCGACTCGTGGTAAAGAATTTGTGTCATAAACAAAAGCCATGAGTCTGACTCATAGTAAAGAATTCATAAACAAAAGCCATGAGTCTGACTCGTGGTAAAGAATTTGTGTCATAAACAAAAACCATGAGTCTGGAATTTGTGCATAAAATGCCGCATATTATCATTAGAACAAGTGATTGGAGTTATTCTACATCAAATATTTTTCTTTTGATTGTAACGTCAGTATTTTTCTTTTTTCCTTTTTTTTCTCTCAGTTGTTTATGACGAAACTGGATGATCTCTTACTTTAGTTCCCCTTAAAGCTTCATTATGTTCACACGTTTCAAATATAATTTCATATAAAGAATTAAAAAAAACCTTATACCCATCATGCCAAGAAGAAGGAAATCTAATGTTCATGGTAGTGGAGAGAAATCTGGAACTATTGTACTGTAGTGGAACTATTGAAGTGGGAATTTAAAAACTGTCGCATTGCATTACATGTACCTCATTGTTTTGAAAGATACCATACAGTTGAAGACTACTAATTTTCATTAAATTAACTAAGTATTTATTTATAAATTGTTATTGATTCATTATCTACTTTGAAATAGTAAATTATTTTTGTCAATTGATTTAATTGATTATGATTACACGCTAGACGTCTTAAAATTACTATTTGTACCTAAACATTGTTTATTATTTCATAATTCCTTTTGTTACACTAAAATATACATGTCATGAAAAGTATACATTTTGCACCAGTTCAGATACACGGCTGAACAGCTGAATGGCATGGTGCGCGACCAACTTTCTTGTTTACAACAGCTTGCGCAATTGGCAGATATCGTGTGGGTCAAGGAGGTTAACAATGTTTACCAAATGAATATTACACCTCAAAAAAGGAGTACTGTTTACACTTAAAAAATACTGTTCCAAATATACTGACAGATGAGAAGCGGGGAAACAATTTATGATATAACCCTTGGCAGGTGTTCCATTGTATGAAATGCAAGATATCAAAAAACTTATCTTCCCCACACTTTCAAGAATAGCTGATTCTCAACGTTCTCGTGCAGGAAAGCATATAAAATCTTTAAATTATTTCCCAAATTTAGCCACTCTTTTACTGATTAACAAACTGGGCAATGAATTTAAAAACAAATTGCGATCAATGCCTAATATATCAGAACTTTTTATCACTTTTCACGCATACTTGTGCATAGCTAATTCTCATTGTGTTACCATTTAGCGAAGCATTATGCTCTTTAACTTTCAAATTTATCAGCCTGTTATTGATCAACATTCCGTAATTTATATCATTAAAACTTTCAAGACTGCTGTATTTTATTTCAAATTTAATCTTAACCTTGGTGCATTCTGTAACATAAATCAAGGGAAAACATTAAAAAAATGTTCAACAAAACCTTGTTTATAGTATATATAGTATATATAGTTTTAGAAAATGAAATCTCTATGTACATATAATTTATAAATAAATTTTATAAATTATATTTATGTACATATAATTTATAAAATTTACATAATAACTTGATTACGTCTTACTTTTACAGCAAATTACATCTTGATGGCTAATTTGACTTTTCCATATGACATATTAAAGTATTCATAAATAACAAATTTTATATTTTCATTTTCCACAATCATATCAGAGTTTTTCATCAGCTGCTACGAGTATATTTAAATAACAAAATTTTCAGCTACAAATATAGTTCAATAAAAATGTTACAAAAATAGAAAGCAACTGATATTCCTAATACAGTCAAAAGTCGTTAATCCGGATGCCCATAATCTGGACATCAAAGCTACAAACTTACGCATGTGCATAATACGTTTACGCATGACCGTTTAATGTATAATGGACGGTATAAGCTAAGCTAAAATTATCTAATTATCTATTTCAGTTAATGTTGCAGATTGCGTTGTTCCTTAATCTTCGAATTGGATCCAGCTTATTATTTTTTGCAGACTGTTAGAGCAATTTTATAAAAGTAAGCTTGAACTTTCGATTATGTCAAATAGAATTTCTGATTCTGGAGCTGCCAAAGGATCCACAAAGTGAAAGCATGTTTCAATGTCCATTAAACAAAAAGTGGAATTGCTGCAAAAAATAGATAAAGGCATGAAGAAAGTGACAGAGAGGTGATTCGTTTCTCTAACCAATCCGAAATCTGTTTATTAATTTCATGTTGCTCTGCTAAAGGGGGATCTTCAGGGCAGATGTTTTTACTTTATTTGGCTTATAATTCCTTGCTAAATGTAGTGTTTCATCTCGATGTACTCCGATATGATTCAAAACAATTTCCTCGTCATTATAAATATCACGAATACGCATACAATAGTTTTCTGGTTGCAATTTTCTAATTTCGACTATGCGCAATGTATGCTTTACGCATGTGCATGTTGAAAGAAATGTTTAATAAAGTAAACAAATAAATAATAAGCTTTTTTTTTCTTTTTTGTAAATTTTGATACTCTTTAGATCACAATTGCTCTTTATTTCATAATTTACAATTTCATATTTTTAATTGTATAATTTCTGCATGCCATCTTATCAGATTTAAACTGATGATCTATAATCCGGAAAAATCGATAATCCGAAATCGCCGAAGTCCTGACGAGTCTGGATTAAAGACTTTTGACTGTACATGCATTGATGGACCAATCGAAATCAGTACTCTAGTTCACAGTACCAAATATACAAATTCTTCAACTGCACCAGCTATGTTGGTGCCTATCCCATCTGCCATTTCTAGATGAGACAGAAGTACCAAATAACATTAAAAAGCATATACTTCACATATTGCTTTCTTTGGAGACCTTTGGTACTCAAAGATTTATACCCAAAGTTAATTAAAATATAAATAATAAGGTGAATATAAATAAGTCATAAAAAGAAAAGCTTTGACAAATCTTTTAATGTTGATTAATATTTCTTTCCATTTTAAAAAGAACAAAGTCTAATCATTTTATTAAGCATATACTTCACATATTGCTTTCTTTGGAGACCTTTGGTACTCAAAGATTTATACCCAAAGTTAATTAAAATATAAATAATAAGGTGAATATAAATAAGTCATAAAAAGAAAAGCTTTGACAAATCTTTTAATGTTGACTAATATTTCTTTCCCTTTTAAAAAGAACAAAGTCTAATCATTTTATTATTTTGAGCAAGTTTAAATCCTGATGCCCTACCAATTAATTACTAAATATTATGCATTATATCTATAAGTTATAAAAATGTTTGGCAATAAAACTTACCACACAGATAAGCAAAATCCGCAGGCTTTGCATAGGTTAAAATGGCAGCTAATATTTCCTTCCAGCACTTAATATTGCAGTTTTTAACCATAGAAAGCCAATCTGAAGTAACAACTGCAGATATCAACTAGAAAGAAGAAAACAGTGAATCAAATTGCTGAGAAAGTTTAATAATATTTTTTTTATTAAATCAACTTTATTATCAAGAGAATATATAATTTTACTTTCTCAGGATTTACATAAAATCTCTCAAATGTAACAAAAACTTAGCAATATTTACTCATAAAATAATTGTTGACCAACTAATCAGGACACAGTAAAGAAGAATGTATTCAAATCTTTGATGATGTTGGTAAGTTATTCAAAAATAAGAAAACTTATTACTTTTTCTATACACACAGTTTAAATTAAAGTACACACACTAAAAATAAGTATATAAACTCCTCTCTCCTCCACCCATCCCAAAAAAAAAAAAAAGGCACTAATATTGCAACATTTTGTCAAGTCTGCAAAAAATTCAGTGCCACAAGTTCTATTAAAATTACATATATGCAAAAAATCACCATAAGAAACTTCATGCATTGCATAATAGACAAATATTAATATAAACACTTTACAACATTAATATAAACGTTTTATTTATGTAACTAGGTAACTTTTTATACCAACTTGAGACTTAGTTTATTACATGGGGAATAGATTTCAAGGTAGATGAATAAAATGTGTTTACATAAACACTTTATTCAAGGACACTTTCTATAACAATGTTTAATTCATAAACATACTACAGAACTGTGTTTACATACACACTAAATTTTTCTGCAGAATACTTCTACCATGAGGTGGATAGAAAATTACATTTCCCTGGTCATAAAAAATTGATAGATATAGACTTCTGTCTATATCTATCAATTTTAAACACACCTCAAATAAACCATGAAAGAGAAGCAGCAATCTGTGTTAAGAATATATTTTTAGATGGGAAAATATTGATTTCAAGGGCAAAAAAAACCTCTCTTCATCAGTAGCAAAGAAATCTGCAACTGAAAAATAAAGTTACAAACATATTTATACCCCAAAGAAGTCGAGAGAGACGATAGAGTAGCGCCGTCTGTTAGTAGAAATAATAAAGAAAATTGAAAAATTAGGATAATACAGATTTAAAAGTGTTAGGAAGGATTGGATTATTAAAATCATTAACTAAACACACTAAATTTTTTGTGAATGTGATTTCAGTCCTACCCAATGCTTTTAAACCTCTATTATCCTAATTTTTAAATTTTCGTTATTATTTCTACTAATGGATGGCGCTACTCTCTCAACTTCCTTAAGGTATAAATCTATTTGTAGCTTTGTTTTTTCAGTTGCAGATTTCTTTGCTCCTGATGAAGAGGAACTTTGTTCACCCTCCAAATCGATAGAGTTTCTATGTTAAAAATCTACAGTAACACTAATTGTTGCTTCACTTTTATGATTTGATAGATACATTTCTAGGGAGAAAGAGACGCTTTTTTTCGTGTTGTTCATAATGTTGAATATTAACTGCATGCAAAATATTGCAAACAAGTAAAAAAAATCAGTGCAAACTGATATTTCTGTTTTTCATAAAAGTGCTGTTTTTCCCAATAAAAAAATTCTGGAAGGTTTCAGATTTAAAATTATGTCCAAAGGGGCTTTTTTTAACATTTTGTCTGTTGCCTTTATTTATTAAACATCACGTTCTTCGCACTTAAACCCTAAAATTCAGTTCAACAGCAATATCGCAAAATAGTTTTAAACTGAGCATAGATTTATGCAAAATTTTCATTATTTAATTTCTTCAAATATAATGGAGGATTCTAACATTTGGTGGCAACAGTTTGAAAAGTGAAAAGTGAAACGGACATTTATAGTGAACTAATGCAAAATTGCAAAATGAAAACAACAGTCCTTCAGGGCAAAGCCCCTTTGAAATAAAATATTTTTAACTTTTTATCACAAGTAAAAGAGCAATCTAATAAAGTCCATCTAACTCTCAGTATGCATTTTTTGTTTATTTGTTTAATGGAAAAAAGACTACTGTGTTGCAGGGGGGGCATTTCTAAAACCTATGCTAAAAATGTTGCATTCCCTCAATTTTTATGAAAAATGGCTTAAAAAAAAGCTTGGCGGTGATAAAACGGACATTAATTGCAAAATTTATGTATTAAAACTGAAAGATTGACAGCAATGAATTACAAGAACTTTTAGACCAGGCATGTCCAAACTCGCGGCCCATGAGCCGAGCCATATTGGTTCTCAACACACTTTCAGAAAATATCAAGAAGCAGGCATTATAAAAACATAACAAAGAACCTGTTTTGTACGAATGTATGCCAAAAAAGCTTCAACATTTGAAAACTGAATCTGAAGAAAGGTGTTGAATATCCTATTTATAGAAGATGAGCTCACTGTTTTCTGCCTTTTATTCAAGTGACAGTGAGAAATTGTCAGCATATTTACAGATGGAATTACTTGCCTGCATAGTTCCCAGATAACCGGTAATTCGCATCATACATTTCTGAGTCTGGTAGTGCATATCAGCAAGAACAACTTTTATCACTTACAAAAAGGAACGAGTCTTTATGGAGAACCAGTCAACACTCATTCATCTGACCTCTGCTTTTAAAATCACTAGTCTGAGTAGCTTGTTTCTAAACATCTGATGAACACCTATCATCTTCCTGTCTGAACACCTAGTATCCTTCCTGTCTGGGCACTTAGCATCTTTTCCTGCAACCAACTTATCATCAAAAATGAAAATGACTTTTTGGTCTTCTTGTGGCCCACACTATTATACACTGATGGTTATTTGGCCTAGTTGAGATAACTGCATTTGACATGCCTGTTCCAAACAAAGAACCAAACCCACACATTAGAGGATTTGGAAAATCAATATGGAATATCTTTTTACAGTTAAATAAATACATTAAAAAGTTCAATGAATTTTTGAAAGCACATATTATTCACGATTCCTCTGTCTGCAAAATCTCAACTTCCATTATCATTCTCATTTACAATAGAACAGCACATATAATTTTAAAATTCCATTACACAATCAGATGCTTTTAATAGCATTTAGAGTTAATAATTAAATCTCACTTTTGATGAATTAGTGCTGACAGATTTAAAATATAATCTTTGGGTTTTCTGTAAAATGTCAGGGCCACCAGCTTGTGCCAAAACTAAAGCATCAGCCCACCTATTATCTTCAATACAAATTTCAACAGCAGATGCAATATTTCCAGTCAACAAGGCTTGGGATATAAGACCATCAACTTCACCTTGAAAGAATAAAAATACCCGATTACATACACAATTCCAAATACTAATAAGGTCACATGACAAATTGAACATTAATAAAAACACATAGTACAAACTTTAAAATACTCATCCACTTGCAATCAATGACAAAAGCAAACATTTAATTTATGATAAGCTATAAAGTCATTAGAAATGCATTGCATGTGCAAATTCCTTTATATGTCAATATATTTTTTTATTTGTAACAGCAAGATTCTCTTAACATTACTCCAACAAGATCTATTTAAATCCAGATACTATATTATGAGTGAATGTGAACATGCTTTAAAAAAACATATATATTTCAAATGAATTTATTTTGCAGAACATTATACTTTGCTTAAAAGATTTTTTTTTTCATAATTGTAGTTCTTAGTCATTAGTAGAACAGAAAAACATATAGACATCTTCCTAATAATTATTTAAAATCTGATAATTTTATTTTCTGATTTTGCCTTACTGTATTTTTGAATAAGCCAGTACCTATGCATTTTTTGATTCTGAAATCTAAAATTTAACTAAGTAACACTGATAACCCAAAACATTATGACCCTCCCCATATTTTTCAATGCACTGGTCTGGATGACATGTAAGCATGTAATTAAGTGGGAATAATATTTAACTGCAGCTGGAAAAGGTAAGGAATCATTCTTGCACTTACTTTTGGAAGTGATGAGAAAGACTGCTAAGCGAATTTGATAGAGGGCAGGTTGTAATAGCCAGAAGACTCTGAACAAGTATCTCCGAAACTGCACCACTGATAGGCTGTTAATGATCTACTATTGTTAGTATTATGCAAAGTGGATAAATGATGGTGAAATTAGCAGTAGACACCAAAGTGTTGGATGTCCATGCATCATTAAAGAAAAAGGACGTATGAGATTGTCCCGCTTGGTACAGCAAAACTGGTACCAGGCAATGGCTCAGCTGACAGCCCAATACAATGCAGGTCTGAGTGCAAGTGTTTCAGAACACACAGTTCAACAGTCACTGTTGGATATGGGACTGCACAGCAGATGTCCCACTCATGTGCTTCTGCTGACCAAGCGTCATTGTCAATCACGCCTCCAGTGGGCTCGGGAACATAGAGACTGCACCATGGATAAGTGGAAGACAGTTGCCTGGTTCAGTGAATCACAATTTCTCATTCATCACATTGATGGTTGTGTCATATTATTTTCTAGCTGAACAATTGCTCCTACCCTATACAGCAGGTCATACACAGGCTGGTGGTGGCAGTATTATGCTTTGCGGAATGTTTTCATGGGCAGCTCTGAGATCCTTAGTTGTGGTAGAATAGACCATGAAAGCTGAAGACTATCTGAACATAACTGTGGATCAATTGGACCTTTAGATGGCATCTGTCTTCCCAACTGAAAATGATTTGTTTTGGTTTAGGTGATTATGGCAAAGCCTCAAGGGCTATCTGCCTAAGGAAAGGGATATACCTTTGTGAAGGACTTTCTAAGGGAAACTGGTTCGTATACAGGTTTCACATGGGAAAACCATGAAAATGCTCATGTAACCGACTCATTCCTGGGATTTGAAACTTGGACCGAACTACCAGTGTTCAGTCACTTTACCACTTCGTTGCTGGTGGGCTCCTCAACTGGCAATGGAATCAATGGAATCTTCCAGCAGCAAAATGCCCTAACTCACAAGGTTTGAATTGTGTTGAAGTGAATCAAGGAGCATAAGGATGAATTCCAATTACTCTCCTAGCCACCTAACTAGCCAGAACTTAAGCTTGATAGAGAGCACATCTTGCATGTCATGAAGCAGCAGTTCGGAGCTCAAACACCACCAAGTAGGAATATCTTGACTTTCCGTGACTGCTGCTTAGACATTTGGTACATTGGTAAGTCTCACAGTCTCCAGTTATCTACCAAGAACTTGTGGCATCCATGCCAAGGCAAGCTGCATCTGTTTTGCAGGCCAAAGATTGCGCTATGTGTTATTGAGTAGGTGATCATAATGCTTTGGCTCTTCAGTGTATGTATTGGGTCAGTCCATAAATTTGTGCACATTTTTTGGTAAATTTTTAAATATAAAAGACACAATTTAACATTTTAATCAATTATATATTTTCCTTCATTATCTACAATGTCTTGCCATCTTACAGGCAGCTTTTTTATGCCATTGCTGTAGAAAGACTCTGGTTTTGATGCAAAAAAACTTGAAAGTTCATTGTGTACATCCTGTTTAAAATTTAATTTTTTTCCCAATAAAAATGTTTGTAAGGCGCGAAATAAGTGAAAAATCACTTGGGGCAATATCTGGGAAGTAAGCAGGATGTGGCAAAAGCTCCCAATTAAATTCACTCATTTTTTTACAGCTCCCAATTAAGCAGCTAATTTTTTTTTTCCAGTTGTTCGAGCCATATGCAGTCTAGCGTTATCATGATGAAACAACACTTCCTTGATATTCACCAATCGTGAGTGTATTTTGATATTTTGATCAATTATGAGTTTAGATGGCAAGTTGTTCACTATAAACTTCTTAATGAATCGTTTGATTTGGTTCTAATCATCAATGCTGCTTTTTCCAACTTTAAATTTTTAAAAGCATTTCTGGGCAGTCCTTACACCATGTACACTATTAATTTTTATTGCTGCAAACCTGGCAGATTCACAACATGAAAATAAAAAATGTAGCACAGCATTATCTATATTCATCTTCTATGGGTACTAAAACGTGTTCGATATTTACGAAAGTTGGTGATGAACTGAATAATATGTTAGTTAAACGATGATAAGTTTCAAACAGGTTCAAAATTCTATTGTTTTAATAAATGCGTCATAGTGAATTCCGCCGCATACTCTTAATGTGCACGAACTTATGGACTGACCCCCGATATATATATGAAAAAAACAAAATCTGGAAAGAAAAATTAAACATTTCTTACCTGTGCCTTAAAATAAGATATAATAAACAATTTTTAGTTACTTGTATTTAACAATAAAGGTAAAATAAACATTTTGTTACAAACAGAATTTTAATTAACAAAATTTATTCACATTACAGTTCATTATTACTAAAATAAGGAAGCAAAAATCTTCCCACTAATTTTGGTCCTTGAAAATAAAAATATAAAACACTAAATATTATGCAAATTTCTCATCACCTCTTTTGTAATAGAAGCCTGGAGGTTTGTCAATTTTAAAATTTACCTACAATCATTACATTTACCAATATCATGTAAAACATCTTAATTTCAGATCTTTATGAGTAGATGGCAGTAATTATTGAGATTTACTGATGCAAATTATTAAAAGTTATTTAAAACTAGTTCCATTCAGGGTTATATACATAGATGTTTTACACATTTAATGTTTCAGGATTTGTAGTAGTTAATTCTTTTGTTTTTGATCAACCAAGAATGTCCTTAAGAAGATTTAAGAGTTCTTTATTTTTCATTGAATACATAAAAAATTGCCACCCAGATGGGAAAGTGGTTAGAGAGTCTGATTGCTGTACCAAAGGGCCTGGGTTCAAGTCCCAGAGAAGGCATGGATGTAAATGATCTGTCCCCTCATAGGAAGCAACAGTGGCCAACCTATTAGGTGCTTCATAATAAAGTGACTACCGCTTTTGGTCTTAGTAGTGGGCAATACCTTTAACAACTAGTGTCCTCCATTGGAAATAATAATTAAAAAAAATTAATAAATTAAAAAAATGTTTCCAAAACATAAATCACACTAGATATATAGGTAGCCTTGTACGATTTCTGCCTGTTCCTTACCCTTATGATGCTGAGATTCATAGACATAAAAGAAATAATGGCAAACATGATGAAATGCTGGTAATAATGATTAAATTGATACTCGTTTTCTATAACAATAAATTGGTGAGTGACAAATACACTTAAAAATGAACATAAATGAAATAAAATTTCAGTGCAGTAAACAGTATCATAAAAGAAAAATTTTTATTTATTTTTTTTTTTTTTAAGTTTTAAGCAGATATCTTTTAATATCTTTATACACTAAGTCTAATTTTTAACAAAAAATCAAAAACTCCCATTTAATTAAAAAATATTCAATAAAAGCATGAAGATCACCAAATTTTAGGTCTTGAATTTTGTTAACGCCGTGATGCACATACTTTATTCGAAAGTAGTACGACTCACTCACTCTCATTTTTGCAAGCTTACTTTTTGTTTTCACAGCTTTTTAAATAAAGTTACACACAATATAATTTACTTCACCTTTCATAACATACCTATAATGAAGTTTTTTATCATTATCTGCAAGTTGAGATGTCTCATCAATATGAACACTGACTGAGAAACAAGGCATGAAATTTTAAGGTTTTAAGAATTTAAAAATTTATAATATATGAATATTTTATTTGAATATATTATCATTATACTGGTCAATCAGGTTGCATTTATTGCATCAGGTTGCAAGTCTCTTAAAAGAAATATTTCGCAACTAATTGATGAAAGAGAAACAGAAATAAGAACTGAACATTGAAAACAAATTTGATTTTATGCTGTGTTTGGTTCATTAGTTAGGTTTCATAATCTGTGGCCACCATCTCATAGTAATGCTACATGGCACAAAGGCTAACTGATTTATTTCTCAGTGTAAACACTGGTTTGCAGTGCCACAAAAAACCTTCTATTCCAGCATTTGCCCACACTAGAAAACAAAAATATATATCATGATTCAATCAGTATTATGAACACTGCTGAGAGCCCCCAGGTGGTAACTGATCATTGCACTGCATTAGTTAGTTGTGACTCAAATGTGCGGGCACACTTAGTTGGCCCAAAGATGCAATTTTAAAGTTATCATCAACTCTTTACATAGCAATAACAACTACTTACATAACACGTCAATACACTTAATCCTGAAGAGCTCTCAGTGTAAAACACTAACCAAAATCTCTCCTTGCCAGCCAATCTCACTAAGTAGCTGTATAAAACACAGCAATCTATACAAGTCCAAAAACTGCACATGACCAAAAGTATTTTCATGCCTTAAAAGGCAATGTATCAATCGCTTTCCCAGTATGAATACAGTTGGTTGTTCAATCACCAAAATACATTAGTTATCTCTAAATACTTTCACTCTACCACTATAAGATCTCCAAGTAAAAATATTCAAAAGACTCAATACTTTAATCTCAAAGTAGAATTATTTACAACCTTATCCTAAAAGGCATTTTGGTGTCTTACTTGAAAAATATTATTTTGACACTATATCTGGTATCAAAACTAAGTTTAATGTTAGACTATGCAGATTAATAGCAACTCATTTCAAACTGAAAAAACAAAGGGATAAAACATTGAAACTAAATAAAACTTTAAAAAATATATTCAGGA